TACAATAGTGAATTACTATAAGCATATGGATGCTCTACTCTTTATGGCTTTCAGTGACTGGGTTCAGGGTGTTAACGTATGAAGTCATCAGCATTTCTATCAAGGAGGAGTGGTCTGATAATGACTAGAGTACATCACTGTTATAGACCATGGCTGAATCCAAAATGGCACCATATGCCCTATACAGTGCATTACTTTTGACCAGAGCCCTATTGGCTCAGGTCAAAGTAGTGCACTATATAGGGAATAGGGTGCCATTTCAGACGCAGCCTATCTGCTATTATTCCCAGTAGGGTGATCCAATAAAACATTATAACCAGTATTTTGAGGCTCTCTCTTAACAAAAAAAATATATATATATATATTTTTAAATAATTACTATGTGTATATATATAACAAATAATAAAATTATAAGAATTACTATATATGTACATATATATGAATTATTATATTTCCATTAATTTCATTATATGAAGGTCCACCATCCCAAGTGATTATTCACTTTCATCATTTTCAATCTTTAAAAAGTGATGTTTGCTCATCAAATAGTCTACCTACAACTAATAACCAAATAGGCTACCTGTCAGAAAGAACATTGCTTGCTGTTAGTTTAAAAGGCAAAAGAGGACAATAATTTTACATAGGCAATTCTGATTTACAAATAGACATTTTTACAGGCTGTTGTATAGGGGCATGTGTGGTTGTCGTCAGAAGACACATCATGTTGATTGATTCTAGATTGACCATAACCTAAAAGTAAAACGCAATTAATTATGGCGTGTGTAGCCTATAGCCTGATATTGTTTACAAAAAACACTACACGGCCAAGCGCAGGTCCTTCCTCAAAAGGCTCCTCTTGCTTGCTTTTCGCTGGCTGCTGGAGCAGACTAGAAGCCGTGGCAGGATAAATGTTGTAACCTAGGCGCCAGCGCGCGAGGGTTTGCTATAATTTATGATTGACACGTCAGATAGAAATCCCTCCCCAAAAATGTTTTATGGATACACTACGTTATAATAACACAATATATGTATTGTTTCAGCAGGGGAAGCTAAACTAACGTAACAAGCAACTGGCAAATAATACATTTGATGGCATTTTCCATGGAGCAGCCGCACGGGCGCGAATACTAGGCTATCCCCACACTACTGACATCTGACATAACGTAAACAATGTAGACTATGAAATAATGTATGAATATTGTAGCCTACCCTGTGCTGGCGATTAAATAAGAAAATGTGTGGCACGATATCACCGGGTAGAAGAAGTTAAATCCCCAATCAGACATCACGGTAGTTAGCGTACAATAACAGATTGCAACACCCTAAGCTACTCTGGTGAACAGAAATAGAGATTCCATTCCAAGCTGTCGAGTACGGTTGGAAATTCGTTAACAATTTAAACAATGTAGCACGCAAACTGCACTTACCTAAATGTATCATCTCGTTGACGTCCGTTCTGATTTATTAGGCAAACTGGTGACCCAGACAGCTAGCAAGCTAGCTAACCGAGCCCAATAATATATATTCCGTTATGTAGCTACACAAATTATTTCAAATGTTGGTCAAGCGACCTTTAAATTGCACTTCATTGCCTATAATTGTTTTAACAGCAATATACCATCAAATTATGCAAAATACGACTAATTTTCAAATTATATCCTTTTTTTATTTTGAGCTTCACCATGGGTGCTGCGTGTCGGTAAATCCAAGTTTGAAAATCCCAACTAGAGTCGAGTCTCTCTATACTAGAGCAGGCAGGATGTCTAACCATTCATGCCACACAGATGATGCTTGCCTTTCGTTGGTTTGATCTTTGATGTACAGATATCCCCGTCAGCCGTCGCTGTGGCGACATAAATGTATACACTTATACATGCAGATACCTTCAGACGTTAATTTATGTACATAATTTACAAGATACGAGTCACACCGCCATCTGTGTACAAGGTGTAACTGCATGCGCTTGCTTGCTTCTCCATTCCTCCCGACAATCGGCGAAGAGGCACTTGTCACAGGCTCCGATGTGCGCACGCGTGCGCTGCTGAACAGGGCCACAAGAGGGCGGCATGCAGCTCGCGTGCATTCTGTTGTGGCCTCCAGTTGAATGAAGTATTGCAATACACAGTAGTAGGCCCCATTATATTGTTGTCATGCAAATACGATTATGTAAATGACCTGCTCTACATTGCATTGGAGTTAATTCTTCTTCTTTTTACAGTTAGATTTGGGCATGCTAGACATCATGTCTGGAATTGCACAAAACTCAGAAGTCAATGACTTGTCATTTGTGAAATTGATGTTTAGCTGTCATTTCCCCATTACTTATGCATCTGCTCAAAGTCAAGGACAGAGTTTAGCATATAATTTTCGTAATGCCCAAAAAGCATATACATTTAATAATGATCAAAGCTCTATGCCACAAAACCTGACAGACAGAGAAAGAGGGAAAAGAGATCTTCAGTGAAAGGGGGTGGGCCATTTTCCTCCCATTCCGCCGACCCCTGTTAAGGCACTCAGGCATGTACAGAATGAACTGAATAACCCCATCTTTTGGCGCCCCCTAATGGGTATGACTGCTGTCTGTCCACGGCGCTTGACATTTCTCCCTATTCTTCATGAATGAACGGAGCATGCAGATGGGAAATTATGCATGACTTCACACTGATCTGCGGCTGCATGTATCAAGTCTCAGAGTAGGCGTGCTGATCTAGGATCAGTTTTGCTATTAAGATGATAATACGATTATATGGACAGGAGGGACCCAAGGGCTGTACTGTATGTCTCAAGAGCATCAGTGCTGACCTAGGGTCAGTTTTGCCTTTTAGATCACAATGTCTTCTGTATGTTCAGTTGACATCAGCTTCTTCAATCTTTCACATTGTCATTACGTCAACCCATAAAGGACATTGGTAATCTGATTACTGTAAATACATACTTTACATGCACTCATACTCCACAAAGGATAGCCTATAAAATTAACTCAAGGTAGTATTTTCATTGACTGACCTAAACCTAACCTGGTCCCAGATCTTTGTGCTCTTGCGAACTCCATTGCTCATTGTCAAGCCATGACAATCATTGACAAGGAGTTGGCATGATAGCACAGACAGACTGGCACTCAGGCAAAACCACACCGCATACACAGAGAATATTTAGATCTTTTAATATTTTACAAAATAGTATAAATCACAAAAATGAATAGTAGAACTCTATAGTACACTTGGTCTTAAAGCACTTATATTTCTGGACCAAAACCCAAAACGTTCTGCTAAGCTTGTTTTCAGTGTATTGAAAATGCAACAAATGATGTATATTTTATTATCAAATTCACAGAGAAGGAAACACGTGACATAAATATCAAACCTTTTCGACACGGAAAGAAAAATATTTGAAAATACAAATAAAGTGATACAATATCCAAATAAACAACATAGTAAGGACAAGGCCTGAGACACACAGGTAAAGGCATGAAGTGTTGTTATCCAACAGTAGAAATTCAAATGATAATGTTTATTTTAGGCACTAAAGTCCACTCTAGTGTGAAATCAAACCATGAATATAGCCTACGAGGTGTAAAAATAAGTATCTTTAGGATTCTAGACTAGGCTAGTTCTATTCCAAGTCAAATACACAAGATTACTCATAAATACACTCTGTCAACATTCGCCAAACTTGCTGTGCAGCATTCAATGTTCTCTCTAAGAAAAGGTTATTAGCACTTTAACCTGGTCCCAGATCTGTTTGATGGCACAAACAGACTGGTACTCAGGCTAGCACAACTATATTTAAATCTACAATTTAATATATTAAACTAATCGATACAAAATATTCATGCATTTTAATCTTCATTTATCACAAAATACAAGATCCTTCCTAGAACAGCCAGCAATTGCTCGTGAAGTACTAGTGTATCTATTAACCCTAATTGTATTCTGTTCGCAATTTCCATTCATCTAGGCAGTATTCTCTGGCCTCTTCCTGTTCATTTGCAGGGTTTTACAGACATGACTTCTTTCATGTATTCATTGTTTTCTATTCAGCATCTGATTATTGGATTCTTTTTCCTTTTCCAAGTCTGTGCATTTTGGTCATCAAACATTTGGTCTCTGAAATATCCCTGTCCTCTTATGTGTTCATTCTTCAATAACATTATTAAGCCTCAAATGATTTAATACATTCCTTAGTTAAAATGTCAAGTCCAAAAGGTTGCTTCAAAAAGTGTGCATATTATCAACCATCAGGCCAGCTAGCCTATTGAGCTCCAGCATTGTTACAGTGAGTCAGTCCACTCGAGAGAAGATGTCCTTTGCAGCACGTGTTACTTGACCAAAACCAAAAAGTGAAGAAAAAAATGGAGTATTGTAGGAGCCTTCACCTCCCTGTTGGTCCATGATATTGTAACAGAGCATCATTCATCCAACTGTAGTCTTGCATTACCAATGCCATACTCTCAAGTCTCATCAAGGCCAAACTGGCCATAGGGCAGTTCTGGCAAATGCCAGATGGGCTGGTCCATCTTAAGCCCATTAAGTGGGCCTGTCTAAATGGTTTGCTTTTATGCACAAAATGATCATTATTTGCCTAATAATGGGTGCCTCGATAGACAAAAGAGGGTGTGATAGAAATGCCGGGGCAGGTTTATGGTCCCAGTCCGTCCCAAGTTTCATTCATGAGAAGGAATGTGAGGAAGCCTGTAAATCGAGGCTAGTCAAAATGTCATAGTCAATGCTTCTGCTGCTACAGTTTCTCCAGATAGATATGTGCTGCTAATCATTAGAACCAGAGAGCCCTTAGCTCTCAAAAGGTGCTAATCCTTAGAACCAGAGAGGCATTAGCTCTCAAAAGGTGCTAATCCTTAGAACCAGGCCAACTCTCTACCCTTCTCCCAAAGTGTGCACTTGTCTTGCACACTCCCTGTTATTAAAAGTATTGGATGGATGTAGGGAATAGGCATCGTCTGAGAAGAGTGGAGGAAGGGAGGGATATATGCAGAGTGTTTAACTCTCTGAAGGGGAGCGGAGGGGGATACAGCCGTCCATTTCCAGAGACCCAGGCCAGCCTTCGTACTTGTTACTGTTCTTACTGTTTTTCATACGGGGGGGGGGGGGGGGGGGGGGGGGGGGGGTGAGAGCGAGAGACAGACACAGACAGAGAGGGCAAGAACATTAGGCTTTACAGAACAAACACACTGACAGAGCCATAGATACACTGCTCAAAAAAATAAAAGGGAACACTAAAATAACACATCCTAGATCTGAATGAATGAAATAATCTTATTAAATACTTTTTTCTTTACATAGTTGAATGTGCTGACAACAAAATCACACAAATTATCAATGGAAATCAAATTTATCAACCCATGGAGGTCTGGATTTGGAGTCACCCTCAAAATTAAAGTGGAAAACCACACTACAGGCTGATCCAACTTTGATGTAATGTCCTTAAAACAAGTCAAAATGAGGCTCAGTAGTGTGTGTGGCCTCCACGTGCCTGTATGACCTCCCTACAACGCCTGGGCATGCTCCTGATGAGGTGGCGGATGGTCTCCTGAGGGATCTCCTCCCAGACCTGGACTAAAGCATCCGCCAACTCCTGGACAGTCTGTGGTGCAACGTGGCGTTGGTGGATGGAGCGAGACATGATGTCCCAGATGTGCTCAATTGGATTCAGGTCTGGGGAACGGGCGGGCCAGTCCATAGCATCAATGCCTTCCTCTTGCAGGAACTGCTGACACACTCCAGCCACATGAGGTCTAGCATTGTCTTGCATTAGGAGGAACCCAGGGCCAACCGCACCAGCATATGGTCTCACAAGGGGTCTGAGGATCTCATCTCGGTACCTAATGGCAGTCAGGCTACCTCTGGCGAGGACATGGAGGGCTGTGCGCCCCCCAAATAAATGCCACCCCACACCATGACTGACCCACCGCCAAACCGGTCATGCTGGAGGATGTTGCAGGCAGCAGAACGTTCTCCACGGCGTCTCCAGACTCTGTCACGTCTGTCACATGTGCTCAGTGTGAACCTGCTTTCATCTGTGAAGAGCACAGGGCGCCAGTGGCGAATTTGCCAATCTTGGTGTTCTCTGGCAAATGCCAAACGTCCTGCACGGTGTTGGGCTGTAAGCACAACCCCCACCTGTGGACTTCGGGCCCTCATACCACCCTCATGGAGTCTGTTTCTGACCGTTTGAGCAGACACATGCACATTTGTGGCCTGCTGGAGGTCATTTTGCAGGGCTCTGGCAGTGCTCCTCCTGCTCCTCCTTGCACAAAGGCGGAGGTAGCAGTCCTGCTGCTGGGTTGTTGCCCTCCTACGGCCTCCTCCACGTCTCCTGATGTACTGGCCTGTCTCCTGGTAGCGCCTCCATGCTCTGGACACTACGCTGACAGACACAGCAAACCTTCTTGCCACAGCTCGCATTGATGTGCCATCCTGGATGAGCTGCAATACCTGAGCCACTTGTGAGGGTTGTAGACTCCGTCTCATGCTACCACTAGAGTGAAAGCACCGCCAGCATTCAAATGTGACCAAAACATCAGCCAGGAAGCATAGGAACTGAGAAGTGGTCTGTGGTCACCACCTGCAAAACCAGTCCTTTATTGGGGGTGTCTTGCTAATTGCCTATAATTTCCACCTGTTGTCTATTCCATTTGCACAACAGCATGTGCAATTTATCAATCAGTGTTGCTTCCTAAGTGGACGGTTTGATTTCACAGAAGTGTGATTGACTTGGAGTTACATTGTGTTGTTTAAGTGTTCCCTTTATTTTTTTGAGCAGTGTATATAACACATAGTGTAGCTATAATATGGACAGAGCTACGAGCAGAGCTATGAGGAGAACAGATGCTTCACAGAGGTCACATATCCTTCTTATCTCATGCACATATGTACAGTGAGGGAAAAAAGTATTTGATCCCCTGCTGATTTTGTACGTTTGCCCACTGACAAATAAATGATCAGTCTATAATTTTAATGGTAGGTTTATTTGAACAGTGAGAGACAGAATACCAACAAAATAATCCAGAAAAACGCATGTCAAAAATGTTATAAATTGATTTGCATTTTAATGAGGGAAATAAGTATTTGACCCCTCTGCAAAACATGACTTAGTACTTGGTGGCAAAACCCTTGTTGGCAATCACAGAGGTCAGACGTTTCTTGTAGTTGGCCACCAGGTTTGCACACATCTCAGGAGGGATTTTGTCCCACTCCTCTTTGCAGATCTTCTCCAAGTCATTAAGGTTTCGAGGCTGACGTTTGGCAACTCGAACCTTCAGCTCCCTCCACAGATTTTCAATGGGATTAAGGTCTGGAGACTGGCTAGGCCACTCCAGGACCTTAATGTGCTTCTTCTTGAGCCACTCCTTTGTTGCCTTGGCCGTGTGTTTTGGGTCATTGTCATGCTGGAATACCGATCACGACCCATTTTCAATGCCCTGGCTGAGGGAAGGAGGTTCTCACCCAATATTTGACGGTACATGGCCCCGTCCATCGTCCCTTTGATGCGGTGAAGTTGTCCTGTCCCCTTAGCAGAAAAACACCCCCAAAGCATAATGTTTCCACCTCCATGTTTGACGGTGGGGATGGTGTTCTTGGGGTCATAGGCAGCATTCCTCCTCCTCCAAACACGGCTAGTTGAGTTGATGCCAAAGAGCTCCATTTTGGTCTCATCTGACCACAACACTTTCACCCAGTTCTCCTCTGAATCATTCAGATGTTCATTGGCAAACGTCAGACGGGCCTGTATATGTGCTTTCTTGAGCAGGGGGACCTTGCGGGCGCTGCAGGATTTCAGTCCTTCACGGCGTAGTGTGTTACCAATTGTTTTCTTGGTGACTATGGTCCCAGCTGCCTTGAGATCATTGACAAGATCCTCCCGTGTAGTTCTGGGCTGATTCCTCACCGTTCTCATGATCATTGCAACTCCACGAGGTGAGATCTTGCATGGAGCCCCAGGCCGAGGGAGATTGACAGTTCTTTTGTGTTTCTTCCATTTGCGAATAATCGCACCAACTGTTGTCACCTTCTCACCAAGCTGCTTGGCGATGGTCTTGTAGCCCATTCCAGCCTTGTGTAGATCTACAATCTTGTCCCTGACATCCTTGGAGAGCTCTTTGGTCTTGGCCATGGTGGAGAGTTTGGAATCTGATTGATTGATTGCTTCTGTGGACAGGTGTCTTTTATACAGGTAACAAGCTGAGATTAGGAGCACTCCCTTTAAGAGTGTGCTCCTAATCTCAGCTCGTTACCTGTATAAAATACACCTGGGAGCCAGAAATCTTTCTGATTGAGAGGGGGTCAAATACTTATTTCCCTCATTAAAATGCAAATCAATTTATAACATTTTTGACATGCGTTTTTCTGGATTTTGTTGTTGTTATTCTGTCTCACTGTTCAAATAAACCTACCATTAAAATGATAGACTGATCATTTCTTTGTCAGTGGGCAAACGTACAAAATTAGCAGGGGATCAAATACTTTTTTCCCTCACTGTATATGTATAAGCACATCCAATTATAAACTTGACGCAACTAAGCAGGATCGCCATTTTGCTTTGCGCTCTTGCGTTGTGTTCGAACGGTATAATTTAGGCTTAAAGTAAAGGTAGTCTACCTGTTCGAATGGGCTCTTGTTCTCGATGCCCTTGGCTCCTACAAACACCCAGCTGTCTCTGAAGGTGAGCTCCTTCACTGCTGTGCTACCCAGCTCCTCAAACAGATGACGAGCCTCGTCATTTAACCTGACACAGGTGTTAGGAGAGGGAGACAGACCGTTACAGTAAAGTAGGATAGCTAGATGAATGTCCATTTAACCTTACAGTACTATATACAATTTTTGTATAGTTTGACACCACACATAACATTGTCTTAGAAATGTTTACAGTGGTAAGAAATAGACTGGTAGATTTACAAGTTATGTCAATGGTAATTTGGTTCTGTTAAGCATTTTACAAGATTGTGGTGACTGTAAAACAACCCCTATAGTATTGTGTGTGTGAGTCATGCACCACAAAGCATAATATTATAACCACACAGCGCTGAAAGCATTGCACGGGACTGAGGCTCACTTAGTACTGTCCAGGGGGCTGAAACTACACAATAACAACTCTATAATCAGGGGGAGGGGAGATAACTATCAACAGTACAACATTAACCGTTCTCAGAGTGAAGAGGCTTCCATGTGTGTCTTCGGGGTAAGGGAGGGAGGGAGGGAGGGAGGGGGGGGGGGGGGGGGGGAGAGAGAGAGAACATGCTAGACTCTTACTTTGTGCAGGATCATCAAAGGAAGCTACAAACACAAGTGTTCCCTCTTGTAAAGGCAGGAGATACTTCAACAGGTCAGTAACATCTGAGACGGGGAGGATGTAGCCTATTAAAGCACCTGTATTTAACTGAACAATATGTAGAGGGGCGTCAAGCTACTTTTAACCTCTTGTATAATGAAAATATAGAAGATATTGTTTATTTTATACATAATTCATTCAAATAGAACGAATTTGGCCATCAACGCACCTTTAAAAAAGAAGTGCATTAGGCATGCATCAAATGACAACAGCACATCAGTATAAACTTGTTTAATCCTCTCACCTCCTGCCCACGTATCAAATGATTGTGTCCAAGAGCTCTCCACATACCCCTGATGAGCAGAAACATCAATTCATTTAAAGTTAGCAATCTGTGCAACAGTCAAGTCAAAATCACAACTGCACAAATGTACTTATGAAACATAACTATCAAGAATTGTCAGAGATTGTTCTAATTACCATTTACTAAAGCAACGTTTAGTCCTCTACCAACATTGTTGTTGACACGGCTGACAAGGCTGAGGGAGAAGAAAAGGAGAGGTTGGGGGAACCATAAGTACCAACACTTTACCTGGGCTGTTTAACGTACTAACTTACTGGTCAAATTTCCCAAAAGCCCATCATAAACCCATTGTAGGCAGTAGACGAAAGATGAGCTTAGAGCTACTAAGCTTTCAGGAAACTAACCCCTGAAGAGTTCATCTATACATTGTTACACACCGACACTGAAGGAGCCACCATAGACAGACAGAATGACAGGCAGACAGAAGGGGTGATGCTACCGACAAAACCACCCCTTTGGTCATTTTTCATAGGAGTTGGCAAGATGGCCCAAACAGATCTGGTTTGGGCCATCTTGAAGGAAAGCAAGAAAGACAGAGAGAAATACTTGCATTCAGCTCTTCAGACAAATTTTAGGGTTAAAATGAGATTATGGCAGAAAGAGAGTGATATGAGAATTAAAAGGAAACAGAGAGGCAGGGGGAGAGAGTGAGATGGTTGGCGGTGACGTTCCATACATTGGTGTAAGAATTGGGACGGCCCCAATGATTTACAATAATTCTCACATCTTATCCTCCAGGCAGATCTTAGGCCCAATGACGTTGGCAGCTCCAGAGACGACGCGGAAGGCCAGATGTTTCTGAGGACAGGGAGCCGACAGACCACACTTGTACCTGCGTGGTTTGGGCTCTGCAAGAGGAGAGGACAAACACAAATTAGCACATTTACATTTTAGTCATTTAGCAGACGCTCTTATCCAGAGCGACTTACAGTTAGTGAGTGCATACATTTTTCATATCCCATTTAAAGCCACGGGAATTAAGCTAAAACCTTATTGTATCCATTCCAAAGATCCCCACATCATCCATGCATTCATTAGTTATCATCTCCCAGAAATGACAGCTCAAACACAGCTGCTATAGCTAGCTAACAATTACATGTAACGTTAACAGAGATCTTTGAAAGTAGCATAGCCATGTAGCTAGCACAATAGAATGAAAGCGTACCCAAGCGGGGAATATGTTGCTCAACTGAGGGACATCAATTAGCACTGTCCCACTGACGTTGAAATGGTTAGGTTCCAAAGGACAATGCTTTTGTGACTGCCACTGTAAATAATGGTCTTAACTTGCCACATACCAGCCATTGGCCTCATGGTGAAATCCCTGAGCGGTTTCCTTCCTCTCCGGCAACTGAGTTAGGAAGGATGCCTGTATCTTTGTAGTGACAGGGTGTATTATACACCATCCAAATGGGTAATTCATAACCTCACCATGCTCAAAGGGAGGAATTGGAAAACCTCCCTGGTCTTTGTGGTTGAAATTCACTGCTCGACTGAGGGACTTTACAGCATTGTGTGTGTGGGGTACAGAGATTAGGTCAAAAGTTTGGACACACCTACTCATTCAAGGGTTCTTCTTTATTTTTTATTATTTTTTACATTGTAGAATAATAGTGAAGACATAAACTATGAAATAACACATATGCAATCATGTAGTAACCAAAGAAGTGTTTTACAAATCAAAATATATTTTAGATTTGATATTCTTCAAAGTAGCCACCCATTGCCTTGATGACAGCTTTGCACATCCTTGGCATTCTCTCAACCAGCTTCATGAGGAATGCTTTTCCAACAGTCTTGAAGGAGTTCCCACATATGCTGAGCACTTGTTGGCTACTTTTCCTTCACTCTGCGGTCCAACTCATCCCAAACCATCTGATGCAGCGCTACATCAATCTCCTTCTTGGTCAAATAGCCCTTACACAGCCTGGAGTTGTGTTTTGGGTCACTGTCCTGTTGAAAAACAAATGATAGTCCCACTAAGCGCAAACCAGATAGGATGGTGTATCGCTGCAGAATGCTGTGGTAGCCATGCTGGTTAATTGTGCCTTGAATTCTAAATTAATCACAGACAGTGTCACCAGTAAAGCATCCCCACACCATCACACCTCCTCCTCCATGCTTCACGGTGGGAACCACACACGTGGAGATCATCCGTTCACCTACTCCACGACTCACAAAGACACGGCGGTTTGAACCAAAAATCTAATGTCCATTGCTCGTGTTTCTTGGCCCAAGCAAGTCTCTTCTACTTATTGGTGTCCTTTAGTAGTGGTTTCTTTGCAGCAATTCGACCATGAAGGCCTGATTCACGCAGTCTCCTCTGAACAGTTAATGTTGAGATATGTCTGTTACTTGAACTCTGTGAAGCTTTTACTTGGGCTGCAATTTCTGAGGCTGGTAACTCTAATGAACTTGAGAGCCAGTTTCATCATAGCGATTGATGGTTTTTACGACTGCACTTGAAGAAACTTTCAAAGTTCTTCAAATTTTCCGGATTGACTGACCTTCATGTCTTAAAAGCAATGATGGAATGTCGTTACTCTTTGCTTATTTGAGCTGTTCTTGCCATAATATGGACTTGGTCTTTTACCAAATAGGGCTATCTTCTGTATACCACCTCTACCTTGTCAAAACACAACTGATTGGCTCAAACACATTAAGGAAAGAAATTCCACAAATTACATTTTAACAAGGCACACCTGTAAATTAAAATGCATTCCAGGTGACTACCTCATGAAGCTGGTTGAGAGAATGCCAAGAGTGTGCAAAGCTGTCATCAAGGAAAAAGGTGGCTACTTTGAAGAATCTCAAATATAAAATATATTTTGATTTTTTAAACTTTTTTGGTTACTACATGATTCCATATGTGTTATTTCATAGTTTTGATGTCTTCAATATTATTCTACAATGTAGAAAATAGTAAACATTACGAAAAACCCTGGAATGAGTAGGTGTGTCCAACCTTTTGACTGGTACTGTATATAAATTATTTTAATAGCAGGACACTGTAAAGTCCATTATTCCACTGAAGGGTATGAATTCGGCTGTTTGAAAAGGTTTGAATCCCAAGCAACTTGCAAGAAAGGAAATTCACATTAGCACTACAATTCTACTCCATCCAAGCTCTACTGTTTTTCAGCACACAGCTTTGAGCTACTACATTAGCAATTTTTGGTCTATTGTACTTCAAACAATGTGTATGCAGGTTGCTTAGAATTCAAACCGTCTCAAACAGCCTAATTCATACTCTTCAGTGGAATAATGGACTTTACAGTGTCCTGCTATTAAAATAATTAATATATATGAGCATACAAAACATTAGGAACACCTTCCTATTATTGAGTTGCACCCCCTTTTGCCCACAGAACATTTTACATTTTAGTAATTTAGCAGACACTCTTATCCAGAGCGACTTACAGTTAGTGAGTGCATACATTTTCATACTGGCCCCCCGTGGGAAACGAACCCACAACCCTGGCGTTGCAAGCGCCATGCTCTACCAACTGAGCTACACGGGGCCAGTCTCAATTCGTCAGGGCATGGACTTTACAATGTGTCGAAAGCGTTCCACAGAGATGCTGGCACATGTTGACTCCAACGCTTCCCACAGTTGTGTCAAGTTGGCTGGTAGTGGATCTCTACTCTGAATAGCTCATTCCATCTCATCCCACAGATGCTCAATTGGATTGATGTTCGAGGAACCATTCCTGGACAATACTAGCCTCGTGGCAAGGGGCATTATCCTGCTGAAAAATTCATTAGCAGATGGATACACTGCTGCCACGAAGGGATGCACCTGATTGGCAATGATGTTAAGATATTCTGTGGAATTCAAACGTTGCTCCACTTCTATCAAAGGACCCAATGTGTGCCATGAAAACACACCACACACCATCATCACCAGCCTGCAATGTTGACACGTGGCATGATGAATGCATGTACTAATGTGGTTTTCTCCATACCCTAGTGCTCTCATCAACGTGAAACAGCAGGAACTGGGATTCATCAGTTAAGTCAAAGGTCGCGCAAGCAAGCAATGATGTTGGCGTTGTTTAACCTTGGTGTGTTTAATCTGGGTGCACCAACACCCCCTGGCTACTTTTTACTTGGATGGCGACTTCAGGTTTTCAGGAATACACTGAAAAGTATCTTGACACTATTAATCAGTCTGCACAAATTTTGATAATAATGACATTAAGAAAATTGCATTGACAGAGGGAGTGTACTTAATCAATGCATAAGGTAAGGGCTGTATCGTTAGCTAGCTACATTGCTAAGCATGCCAGATTGACTAGTGTATGGAGTAACATTAGCCAACATTAACATTAGATGAGTATTGACCATTGCATGTCTTATACATTAGCAGCGTGGCAGTTTCCCAAAGTTTGGTGTTGACTATGAACTTTACTTAGCTAGCTGTGCTTTGTTTGTGGAAGAACGTGGGATAGCTATATTGTCAACTAGGGCTGACCTCGTTTAGTCGACTGGTTGATTGTTTGGTCGACCAATACTTTTTTATTAAAGCACTCGCAAACAGATTTAAAAAAATTCATGGCACACAAGACACCTGTCTGATTCGCGCCTGTCTCAGTGGACTAATCCATTAAGGAGGCCGCAGGGAGGCCACGGTCCAAGAAAAAGGAGTGTGGCTCAGATGCACAAGGCAAGTCTCTCTCCAGAATGCGCTCTCTCCTGCCATTTGGTGTGTATTCATTGTTTCATAACTTAATTGTGTGCGTTGTTTGCTGTGTATCAATTCCCCATTACATACAGTGCATTCGGAAAGTATTCAGACCCCTTGACTTTTTCCACATTTTGTTATGTCACAGCCTTATTCTAAAATGGATTAAATAGTTTTTTCCCTTATCAATCTACATGCAATACCCATGATGACAACGCAAAGACAGATTTTTATACATTTTTGAAAATGTATAAAAAATAAAAATGGATTTATCACATTTACATAAGTATTCAGACCCGTTACTCAGTACTTTGTTGAAGCACCTTTGGCAACGACTACAGCCTAGAGTCTTCTTGGCTATGACTCTACAAGCTTGGCATACCTGTATTTGGGAAGTTTCTCCCATACCTCTCTGCCGATCCTTTAAAAGTTCTGTCAAGGTTGGATGGGGAGCGTCGCTGCACAGCTATTTTCAGGTCTCTCCAGAGATGTTAGATCGGGTTCAAGTCCGGGCTCTGGCTGGGCCACACAAGGACATTCGGAGACTTGTCCCGAAGCCACTCCTGCATTGTCTTGGCTGTGTGCTTAGGGTCATTGTCCTTCGCCCCAGTCTGAGGTCCTGAGCGCACTGGAGCAGGTTTTCATCAAGGATCTCTCTGTACTTTGCTCCGTTCATCTTTCCCTCGATCCTGACTAGTCTCCCAGTCCCTGCCGCTGAAAAACATCCTCACAACATGATGCTGCCACCACCATTCTTCACTGTAGGGATGGTGCCAGGTTTCCTCCAGACGTGACATTTGGCATTCAGGCCAATGAGCTCAATCTTGGTTTCATCAGACCAGAGAATCTTGTTTCTCATGGTCTGAGAGTCCTTTAGGTGCCTTTTGGCAAACTCCAAGCGGGCTGTCATGTGCCTTTTACTGAGGAGTGGTTTCCGTCTGGCCACTACCATAAAGGCCTGATTGGTGAAGTGCTGCAGAGATGGTTGTCCTTCTGGAAGGTTCTCCCATCTCCATAGAGGAACTCTGGAGCTCTGTCAGAGTGACCATCGGATTCTTGGTCACCTCCCTGACCAAGGCCCTTCTCCCCCGATTGCTCAGTTTGGCCGGGTGGCCAGCTCTAGGAAGAGTCTTGGTGGTTGCAAACTTCTGCCATTTAAGAATGATGGAGGCCACTGTGTTCTTGGGGACCTTCAATGCTGCAGAATTATTGTGGTACCCTTCCACAGATCTGTGCCTCGACCCAATCCTGTTTCGGAGCTCTACGGACAATTCCTTCGACCTCATGGCTTGGTTTTTGCTCTGACGTGCACAGTCAACTGTGGGACCTTATATAGACAGGTGTGTGCCTTTCCAAATCATGTCCAATTAATTGAATTTACCAAAGGTGGATTCCAATCAAGTTGTAGAAACACCTCAACAATGATCAATGGAAACAGGATGCACCTGAGCTCAATTTCGAGTCTCATAGCAAAGGGTGTGAATATGTATGTAAATAAGTCTTTTTTTATTTGTAATAAATGTGCACACAAAAAAACAGTTTTCACTTTCTCATTATGTGGTATTGTGTGTAGATTTATGAGATGTTTTATTTATTTAATCCATTTTAGAATAAGGCGGTAACGTAAACAAAATCTGGTAAAAGTCAAGGGGTCTGAATACTTTCCGAATGCACTGTACTATTGTGGCAGCTAGATATCAGACAGTAGAATTGTCTTAATCTTACCACTAAATAAGTGTTTGACCACTGAGTTGCTGTCCCCTCCGAGGATGGAGCTGGCTAACACCCAGATGAAGCCCACCAATAGCAGCACAGCTACAGCTCGCAGAGGTCCTGGCACACACACAGACACATTCCATTAGAATGGGCTCTCTCGCAGTAACAATACATTACATTCATTAGATAAAACTAAAAGACAGATGGACACTTTCACAGACATGACGCACACATTCCTACCTGCCAATCTCATTATTGATTTTCTTAAGAAGCAAAGGCAGACAGGCTAGTAGTCCTATAGAAATCTCTTGAAAAATAGATTTAAAATCTCAATGAGCACTTCCTGGTTAAATAAAGGTTAAATAAAATAATAGAAATAAATAGAAAACAAACAATGAGACATAAGATAGTCACGTTAGAATGCACATGGGCTTTCCTGGTAATGTCCTGGCAGTTTCACTGAAGCAACCATGTTTGGAATCTTAAAAGGATTCATTTGAGCAAATTACAGGAATCTCTATCAATTATACAATGTAGCAACAGAGTGGCAAGTAAGTAAGATGGCACTTTCGAGATGCATTCGACAAGACAAGGGCAACAAGTGGAGAGAAGGCGTCCACTGCAAAGAGGCAACACCCACTGTTATTTATTCCAAGGCAACTTCGTCGAGATTTCCCTCGTGAAAATTCACCTTTCCTGGCAAGACAAACTTTGACACAAAAAAGTAAGCCAATAAAATATGATTTGGACGGCTTAGTTCACCACCTGTAGTGGTTGCATCGTTCCAGTTACGACAAGCATGACGGAATTGTCTTTATTTCATCAGCGTGCGATCTTCCGATTAGTTTTGAGCCTTTCATTTTCGGTATCGTCAGTCTGGAGTCTGCGCATGCATTTTTCAACGGTTATACCATGTTCAAGACACTCGGAAAAATACGACGTAAAATCATGAAGTCAGTGATTTTCACATCGGAAAGTCTGAAGCTCTAGAAAGAGGCCCGAGTAACCGAGTTGGAATTCAGAGTTGGATGACCGTTCAAATCGATCTTTCCCAGGATAAGCTCGTTTTTTTTCCAAGTTCCCAGTTGTTTTGAACGCAGTGAAGTCGGAAGTCAATGATTTCCGAGTTCCCAGTTGTTTTGAACGCGGCATTACTCCCATGAGTATACATGCTGTAAATAATTGCTACGCTTTGAACACACCGACTGTGTTTTTGCGCAAAAAAGTATGTAGCATCATGTAGATATGTGTGCAACAAAAATTCAACATTCACCTTCTACGACCATTTCTGTCAACCCCTTTACACATACAGTTTGACGATACGTCCGATAAATCCAACGTAAGGACCACACAGAACGCACAGCAACTGCCTCTGCAACGCAACGCTGCAAAGCAAACGCAGCGTTCCTTTGGAAATGAATGTACTTCTGGTGTACCAAAACACAAAACACAGTCAGTGTGTTCGAAGCAACCCTATGGTGTCTCCATGCGTCATACATAATGTGGCAATTATCTTCCATAGAATTGGGAATTAGAATACTAATAATTATTAATAATTTAATAATATGAATAATGTTATATTATTAGTAATTTAATAGGAGCTCTATCGATTATTCTCTCTGCTGTGTTGGCACGAGCAGATGCGCGTTCACACCATCAGTCAGATTGCATCAAGATGGCCGCCTCCATTGCAGTGATATCAATGTCTAAAATTATTAAACCCATTTGGGGTGGACGGTTGGCAACGACAGCAAAAGTAAGACAGATTTGATGATTCACAGTTATGATGATACATAAACTACATAAAACTAGAAAAAAAATAGTGTTGTTAGACTAGAATACAAGGTAATGTCTAGTTAGCTAGCTTGCTGGTTAGCATCAGCAAGAAGCGCATGTCACTGATCACCAATATCTCTCCCTTTGCTATTTTCTAATTTGACATTCATACGGTATACTATACTGTTGCTTATCTCTAGAAAGCACCAAAGGGACTTAACGACCACATAAACCACAAGTTGAGTTAGTTAACGTCCTGTTCTGCTGTTTCCTCAGGTGCTTGGACCCACAGTGAGCAGTCGCAGAGAGAAGTCAACAGTAGTGAGTGCCCATCTTGGAAACTGCATCGGATAGACTATCTGTGGTGGTTTGAGTAGGCCTAGCTCTTGTGAATTCTGTCTGGCAGAGTGTGCAGAGATCACAGTTACCTGGAAACCAACCTGATGTTGAATTGCATTGAATTCTACTTAAGGCAGATATTAGTGTTTGAATCAACAAAGTTTCCTCTCATGACCACTACAAGCCAGAATGTTGAAGAAAATGATATTTTAACTTACTTTAGGGTGGTCCTTTTGCAGGTAGGAATGTGAGACAATATAGTCACAGGAAAGTATAATTAAATCAACTTTTTAAAGCGCTGGTAGTGCGTTCAGATTTCTATCACCTGAAGCATGTGCACAAGATGAAAATGGATGCATACTTGTTGAGCTCGTGCACGTGTTTACATGGTTCTGCCCATGCCTCAGGTGATAGAAATCTGAATTCACTACCAGCACTTTGATAAGGTGATTTAATGATACTTCCCTGTGGATATGTTGTCTCACATTCCTACTGCCAAAAGGACCAACCGCACGGACAACCGGTAAAATATAATTTTATTCAATATTCTGGCTTGTAGAACTTGTGAGAGGAAATTTTTCAAACAAATGTATGGCATTAATCTAACTGAACCAGACGTATCACAGTCTGATTGTCAGGCAAAGATCACAGTAGCTAGCGATCTGGCAGAGTGTGCAGAGATCACAGTAGCTAGCGGTCTGTCAGAGTGTGCAGAGATCACAGTAGCTAGCGGTCTGGCAGAGTGTGTAGAGATCACAGTAGCTAGCGGTCTGGCAGTGTGCAGAGCTCACAGTAGCTAGCGGTCTGGCAGTGTGCAGAGATCACAGTAGCTAGCGGTCTGGCAGAGTGTGCAGAGATCACAGTAGCTAGCGGTCTGGCAGTGTGCAGAGATCACAGTAGCTAGCGGTATCGCAGAGTGTGCAGAGATCACAGTAGCTAGCGGTCTCGCAGAGTGTGCAGAGATCACAGTAGCTAGCGGTCTGGCAGAGTGTGCAGAGATCACAGTAGCTAGCGGTCTGGCAGAGTGTGCAGAGATCACAGTAGCTAGCGGTCTGGCAGTGTGCAGAGATCACAGTAGCTAGCGGTCTGGCAGAGTGTGCAGAGATCACAGTAGCTAGCGGTCTGGCAGAGTGTGCAGAGATCACAGTAGCTAGCGGTCTGGCAGAGTGTGCAGAGATCACAGTAGCTAGCGGTCTGGCAGAGTGTGCAGAGATCACAGTAGCTAGCGGTCTGGCAGTGTGCAGAGATCACAGTAGCTAGCGGTCTGGCAGTGTGCAGAGATCACAGTAGCTAGGCCTCTTAACTGTGCATTGTAGCTACATGATGAGCTGCCTAGTACACTTGACTGTCAGAAATCACAAGGCTTGCTTGCTGTCAAGTATGTCTATTTGAAGCATGGTACTGGTGATGTAGCTAGCCTACCCAGGTCTCGTACTATGAACAGCTCAGGATTCACACTGCCACTCTGTTAGATTTAAACATTTCAGAGGGAGCTCTAGATACTTCTGCTTGGTATTGGTTATTGCTGGGTTGATTTGGTGTGACAAAGTTGGCTAGCTAACTCCGTGAACTAAATCAGTTGTCAGCATTAGGCTGAGCATTTGTAACCTGATCAAGACCATTTCCCCCCCCCCAAAAAAAAGTGGACCACTTTGGGGAGAGGGGATCAGGGATGAGCTAGCAATCTGAGGTGTAGGGGAACTGTTTGTTTTCTGGTGCTTTGCTAATTTCTCACTGTATTGTTCTTCTTTTCCGGCCACGTTTCTACAACTAATAGGGACAAATCATTGTAAGTACCGCATTACATTGCATCACCGCACATCACATTCCCACGTTACACATCACACACAATACACCTTATTCACACCACTGGCACGCAACCACATTTTTATTTACTTTCAGTACAGCCTGGTAATATCTCTGACAGAAAAATGTGCAAGGATGACAAAACAAATTATGCATTTCAGCCCCCTCCTGCGAAGTATGGTGGCAGACACACTGTAACTCTGATACCTGGAGATGGTATTGGACCAGAACTGCTCAATCACGTAAAGGAGCTCTTCCGGTCAGTCAAATATGTATTATAACAGTCTATAACATGTTAATGTCCTCTGTAGCTCAGCTGGTAGAGCACGGCGCTTGTAACGCCAAGGTAGTGGGTTCGATCCCCGGGACCACCCATACACAAAAATGTATGCACGCATGACTGTAAGTCGCCTTGGATAAAAGCATCTGCTAAATGGCATATTATTATTATTAATAAGCTAATAAGTTATTCCCACCTCATAAATGTCTTATAAACACATAGCCACTAATATGTCCCTGGGAGCTCTTAAGGGCGGCTAAGTGTATTATAACTGGTCATAACATTCATGGCTTATAGACACTTATAACAGTTAATTAATTCAACAGTTTATTAAAGGGATACTTCAGGATTGTATCTAATTCCCCAAGATGAACTCATGGATACCATTTTTTTGTCTCTTCATCCAGTATGAAGGAAGTTAGAGGTAGTTTCGCTAGCCAATGCGAACTAGCTTTAGTGCAATGACTTGAAGTCTATGGTGTCTACTAGCATGCTAGCAGTTACCATAGACTTCCAATCATTGCGCTAACGCTAGTTAGCAACTTCTTTTAAACTGCACACAGAAAAAAAAATGATTCATCTGACTCTGGGGAAGTACACTGAACAAAAATATAAATGAACATGCAACAATTTAAAATATTTTACTGAGTTACAGTTCATATAAAGAAATCAGTCAATTAAAATACATTAATTAGGCCCTAATCTAAGGATTTCACATGACTGGGATTACAGATATGCATCTGTTGGTCACAGATACCTTAAAAAACATGTATGTATGGGCGTGGATCACAAAACCATTCAGTATCTGGTGCGAAGTTGCTGGATATTGGCGGGAACTGGAACACGCTGTCGTACACGTCGATCCAGAGCATCCCAAACATGGTCAATGGGTGACAAGTCTGGTGAGTATGCAGGCCATGGAAGAATTGGGACATTTTCAGCTTCCAGGAATTGGGTACAGATTCTTGCGACATTATCATGCTCAAACATGATGTGATAACGGCGGATGAATGGCACGACAATGGGCCTCGATAAAATGCAATTGTGTTCGTTGTCCGTAGCTTATACCTGCCCATACCATAACCCCACCTCCACCATGGGGTAGTCTGTTTACAACATTGACATCAGCAAACCGCCTAACCCACACGATGCCATACACACTGTCTGTCATCTGCCTGGTACAGTTGAAACCAGGATTCATCCGTGAAGAGCACACTTCTCCAGCATGCCAGTGGCCATCGAAGTTGAGCGTTTTCCCACTGAAGTCGGCTACGACACAGAACTACAGTCAGGTCAACACCCTGATGAGGAGGACGAGCACGCAGATTACCTTCCCTGAGACGGTTTCTCACAGTTTGTGCAGAAATTATTTGGTTGTGCAAACCTACAGTTTCATCAGCTGTCCGGGTGGCTGGTCTCCGACCATCCCACAGGTGAAGAAGCTGGATTTGCTTACCGCCCCAATAGATCCACAGACGATGCAATCGCCATCACACTGCACACTGCCCTATCCCATCTGGACAAGAGGATTACCTATGTAAGAATGCTGTTCATCGACTATAGCTCAGCTTTCAACACCGTAGTACCCTCCAAGCTCATCATTAATCTCGAGGCCCTGGGTCTGAACCCCGCCCTGTGCAACTGGGTCCTGGACTTCCTGACGGGCCGCCCCCAGGTGGTGAAGGTAGGAAACAACATCTCCACTTCGCTGATCCTCAACACTGAGGCCCCACAAGGGTGTGTGCTCAGCCCCGTCCTGTACTCCCTGTTCACCCATGACTGCGTGGCCAAGCACGCCTCCAACTCAATCATCAAGTTTGCAGACGACACAACAGTAGTAGGCTTGATTACCAACAATGACGAGACCGCCTACAGGGAGGAGGTGAGGGCTCTGAGAGTGTGGTGCCAGGAAAATAACCTCTCACTCAACGTCAACAAAACAAAGGAGATGATCGTGGACTTCAGGAAACAGCAAAGGGTGCACCCCCCTATCCACATCGACGGGACCGCAGTGGAGAAAGTGAAAAGCTTCAAGTTCCTTGGCGTACACATGACTGACAAACTGAAATTGGCCACCCACGCAGACAGTGTGGTGAAGCAGGCGCAACAGAGCCTCTTCAACCTCAGGAGGCTGAAGAAGTTTGGCTTGGCACCTAAAACCCAACCACCCGAGCCACTGCCTGTTCATCCCGGTATCATACAGAAGGCGAGGTCAGTACAGGTGCATCAAAGCTGGGACCGAGAGAATGAAAAACAGCTTCTATCTCAAGGCCATCAGACTGTTAAATAGCCATCACTAGCACATTAAAGGCTGCTGCTGCCTATTGAAATCACCGGCCACTTTAAGAAATGGAACACTAGTCACTTTAATAATGTTTACATATCTTGCACTACTCATCTCATATGTATATACTGCATTCTATTCTATAATATTATACTGTATCTTAGTCCATGCCACTCTGTCATTGCTTCTATATATGTATATATTCTTAAATTCCATTCCTTACTAGATTTGTGTGTATTGGGTATATGTTGTGAAATTGTTAGATATTACTGCACTGTCGGAGCTAGAAGCACAAGCATTTCGCTACACCTGCAATAACATCTGCTAAACACGTGTATGTGACAAATACAATTTGATTTGATTTGGATATGGAGGTCCTGAGCTGGCGTGGTTACACGTGGTCTGCAGTTGTGAGGCAGGTTGGATGTACTGCCAAATTCCCTAAAATGACGTTGGTGGTGGCTTATGGAAGAGAAATTAACATTACATTCTCTGGCAACAGCTCTGGTGGACATTCCTGCAGTCAGCATGTCAATTGCACGCTCTCTCAACTTGAGACATCTGTGACATTGTGTTCTGTGACAAAACTGCACATTTTAGAGTGGCCTTTTATTGTCCCCAGCACAAGGTGCACCTGTGTAATGATCATGCTGTTTAATCCGTTTCTTGATATGCCAGACCTGTAAATTGGATGGATTATCTTGGCAAATTAGAAATGCTCACTAACAGAGATGTAAACAAAATTTGAGAGAAATAAGCTTGTTGTGCGTATGGAAAATGTCTGGGATCTTTTATTTCAGCTCATGAAACATGGGACCAACACTTTTGTAGAGGGTTCTTTGCACAGTGCTGATATTCTCTTATTCTTAAACTTTCAATTTTAGAAAATGACACAGAAAACGGCTTCTGAGTATATGTAAAATATCTTTAGTTTTGCAATTGCAGGCAGAAGTTAATACAGAGTCAACAGGATTTGTATAGCTCTTCATAAGTTCTGCAAAGTGTCTAAATCAATCTCTGCTTTTTATACTAGCACTCCCTTCCCATAGTGTGATGTTTACCTCTGACCCTGAACTTGCCCTAGTAACCACAAAGTATTCTTCCTAATCCTGTCTTCCCACAAACTCAGTATCAGGGGGTGAGGTGTCAGACAATAAAACCAGACATGTCTAAAGACAATGTGGCAATTGTGGTTGCAGGTTTCTGAGAACTTTCTGCTGTCAAGGCCTCCATAGTTTTTAATAATGTAAGCAAATGCGCATAATAGATCATATATTCCCCATCACTTTACATGTTGCGTTTTATATTTTTGTTCAGTGTAGATAAAGGGCTTCATTGCCAAAATCCTGAAGTATCCCTTTAAATGCATTGGATTGGAATGGTAGTGAGTGGCTACCTTGTTCCAAGTTCATAACAGGATATTCACAGCTTATAAACACATAGACATCAATATGTCTCATGCATGCCCATAGTTGTACAGTACAACCAATGAGTTGAGGTAGAACGACTGAGTCGTTGGGTTGTCCCTCCCATATTGTGTTAATGTGCTCTATAGGTTCAGCTGTGTGCCTGTGGACTTTGAGGTTGTGAACGTCAGCTCAGCTACCGAGGATGACATCAACAACGCCATCACAGCCATCCGCCGTAATGGAGTGGCCCTCAAAGGTAGGAGAAACCATAAAAAACATGGAAAGGGCTTGGAAGCTCTAACCCTGGTCATTTGGCTGGTAAACTCATGGGTACATTTGCAATGGCTGCCAGTCCACCCTTTATGCCATCATTGACTTGAATGGGGAGGCCCTTTTCTATGGGTTTTATTTCTATGGGAGAAATACTGAAGCGCTTATAGCACCATGCTTTTGTACTAAAATTGTAGGCAGCTTCCAGTTATTTAATGTAGTTGTCCATAACTGCAACTGCGTCAGTCACTGCATCATATGATAGGTTGTGTGTATGTATTCTATAGCAGGGTTTCCCAAACTCGGTCCTGGCCCCCTCCCGTTTTGGTTTTTGCTCTAGCACTACACAGCTGATTTGAAATAATCACAGCCTGATGATGAGTTGGTAATTTGAATCAGCTGTTTAGTGCTAGGGCAAAAACCAAAATGTGCACCCAAGGGGGGTCCCAGGACCGAGTTTGGGAAACCCTGTTCTATAGAATGCCTATAACACTGGCAACATGCTTATGTTTTTGTTTGTGTGTTTGTAGGTAACATTGAGACCCTCCACACCCTGCCTGCTTCCCACAAGTCCAGAAACAACCTCCTTCGGTAAGTAAAGGTTTCTATCCAATCGTTTATTTGAAAAAGACAGAGGTCCTCTTCCTTGAGTGCTCTGTTGTTGCTCACGGGGTACCTATCTCTGTCCCAAACGGTCCTCTGTGGCTCTCTCTGTCCAGTCCTGTCAGCTTACACTGTCTCCCACATCTCTCTATCCAGACCTTTCAGCTTACACTGTCTCTCCCATCTGTCTATCCAGACCTGTCAGCTTACTGTCTCCCCCATGTCTCTGTCTAGTCCTGTCAGCTTACTGTCTCCCCCATCTCTCTATTCAGACCTGTCAGCTTACTGTCTCCCCCATCTCTCTGTCCTGTCAGCTTACTATCTCCCCCATCTCTATCCAGTCCTGTCAGCTTACTGTCTCCCCCATCTCTCTGTCCAGTCCTGTCAGCTTACTGTCTCCCCCATCTCTCTAGCCAGACCTGTCAGCTTACACTGTCTCCCCTATCTCTCTATCCAGGCCTGTCAGCTTACTGTCTCCCCCATCTCTCTAGCCAGACCTGTCAGCTTACACTGTCTCCCCTATCTCTCTAGCCAGACCTGTCAGCTTACTGTCTCCGCCATCTCTCTGTCCCCTAGTACCAGTTTGGACCTGTATGCCAACGTAATGCACTGTCTGTCCCTCTCCATGTCTCTCTGTATGCCAACAGCTCACAGTCTCTCCCCTGTCTCTGTCTTTCTGTCCCACAGTACCAGTCTGGACCTGTATGCCAACGTCATGCACTGTCTGTCCCTCTCCATGTCTCTCTGTATGCCAACAGCTCACAGTCTCTCCCCTGTCTCTGTCTTTCTGTCCCACAGTACCAGTCTGGACCTGTATGCCAACGTCATGCACTGTAAATCCCTCCCTGGAGTTCAGACTCGCCACAACAACATTGACATCATGATTATCAGGGAGAACACTGAGGGAGAGTACAGCAGTCTGGAGCATGAGGTTAGACACACAGACAGAAACATGCGCAGACACACACATGCGCAGACACACTTTTACTCCACTCAATTCATCCCTTTCTTTTCCATTCACACTCTTTGCTGTATATAATATATACAGTTGAAGTCGGAAGTTTACATACACTTAGGTTGGAGTCATTAAAACTTGTTTTTCAACCACTCCACAAATTTCTTGTTAACGAACTATAGTTAGTCGGTTAGGACATCTACTTTGTGCATGACACAAGTAATTTTTCCAACAATTGTTTTCAGACAGATTATTTCACTTATAATTCACTGTATCACAATTCCAGCGGGTCAGAAGTTTACATACACTAAGTTGATTGTGCCTTTAAACAGCTTGGAAAATTCCAGAAAATGATGTCATGGCTTTAGAAGCTTCTGATAGGCTATTTGACATCATTTGAGTCAATTGGAGGTGTACCTGTGGATGTATTTCAAGGCCTACCTTCAAACTCAGTGCCTCTTTGCTTGACATCATGGGAAAATCAAAAGAGATCAGCCAAGACCTCAGATTTTTTTTTTTAAACCTCCACAAGTCTGGTTCATCCTTGGGAGCAATTTCCAAATGCCTGAAGGTACCACGTTCATCTGTACAAACAATACGACGCAAGTATAAACACCATGGGACCACGCAGCTATCATAGCGCTCAGGAAGGAGACGCGTTCTGTCTACTAGAGATGAACGTACTTTGGTGCGAAAAGTGCAAATCAATCCCAGAACAACAGCAAAGGACCTTGTGAAGATGCTGGAGGAAACCGGTACAAAAGTATCTATATCCACAGTAAAACAAGTCCTATATCGACATAACCTGAAAGGCCGCTCAGCAAGGAAGAAGCCACTGCTCCAAAACCGCCATAAAAAAGCCAGACTACTGTTTGCAACTGCACATGGGGACAAAGATCTTACTTTTTGGAGAAATGTCCTCTGGTATGATGAAACAAAAATAGAACTGTTTGGCCATAATGACCATCGTTATGTTTGGAGGAAAAAGGGGGGTCTTGCAAGCTGAAGAACACCTTCCCACGGGGGGCCAGTATGAAAAATGTATGCACTCACTAATTGTAAGTCGCTCTGGATAAGAGCGTCTGCTAAATGACTAAAATGTAAATTGGATCACACAAAAAACAACAACAACCGTGAAGCACGGGGGTGGCAGCATCATGCTGTGGGGGTGCTTTGCTGCAGGAGGGACTGGTGCACTTCACAAAATAGATGGCATCATGAGGAAGGAAAATTATGTGGATATATTGAAGCAAGATCTCAAGACATCAGTCAGGAAGTTAAAGCTTGGTCGCAAATGGGTCTTCCAAATGGACTATGACCCCAAGCATACTTCCAAAGTTGGACAACGAAGTCAAGGTACTGGAGTGGCCATCACAAAGCCCTGACCTCAATCCTATAGAAAATGTGTGGGCAGAACAGAAAAGGTGTGTGCGAGCAAGGAGGCAAACAAACCTGACTCAGTTACACCAGCTCTGTCAGGAGGAAAGGGCTAAAATTCACCCAACTTATTGTGGGAAGCTTGTGGAAGGCTACCAGAAACGTTTGACCCAAGTGAAACAATTTAAAGGCAATGCTACCAAATACTAATTGAGTGTATGTAAACATCTGACCCACTGGGAATGTGATGAAAGAAATAAAAGCTGAAAGAAATCATTCTCTCTACTATTATTCTGACATTTCACATTCTTAAAATAAAGTGGTGATCCTAACTGACCTAAGACAGGGAATTTTTACTTGGATTAGATGTCAGGAATTGTGAAAACTGAGTTTAAATGTATTTGGCTAAGGTGTATGTAAACTTCCGACTTCAACTGTATATATATATATATATATATATATATATATACAGTGCCTTGCAAAAGTATTCATCCCCCTTGGCGTTTTTCCTATTTTGTTGCATTACAACCTGTAATTGAAATGGATTTTTATTTGGATTTCATGTAATCGACATACACAAAATAGTGAAATGAAATAACTTTTTTCAAAAAATTCAAAAAAATAAATAATGGAAAAGTGGTGCGTGCATATGTATTCACCCCCTTTGCTATGAAGCCCCTAAATAAGATCTGGTGCAACCAATTACCTTCAGAAGTCACATAATTTGTTAAATAAAGTGTGCAATCTAAGTGTCACATGAAAGTTGTGGAGAAGTACAGATCAGGGTTAGGTTATAAAAACAAATCAGAAACTTTGAACATCCCTTGGAGCACCATTTCAATCCATTATTAAAAAATGGATAGAATATGGCACCACAACAAACCTGCCAAGAGAGGGCCGCCCACCAAAACTCACAGACCAGGCAAGGAGGGCATTAATCAGAGAGGCAACAAAGACACCAAAGATAACCCTGAAGGAGCTGCAAAGCTCCACAGCGGAGATTGGAGTATCTGTCCATAGGACCACTTTTTAAGCCGTACACTCCACAGAGCTGGGCTTTACGGAAGAGTGGCCAGATAAAAGCCATTGCTTAAAGAAAAAAATAAGCAAACACGTTTGGTGTTCGCCAAAAGCAATGTGGGAGACTCCCCAAACATATGGAAGAATGTATTCTGTTCAGATGAGACTAAAATTGAGCTTTTTGGCCATCAAGGAAAACGCTATGTCTGGCACAAACCCAACACCTCTCATCACCCCGAGAACACCATCCCCACAGTGAAGCATGGTGGTGGCAGCATCATGCTGTGGGGATGTTTTTCATCGGCAGGGACTAGGAAACTGGTCAGAATTGAAGGAATGATGGCTGGCACTAAATACAGGGATATTCTTGAGGGAAACCTGTTTGTCTTCCAGAGATTTGAGACTGGGACGGAGGTTCACCTTCCAGCAGGACAATGACCCTAAGCATACTGCTAAAGCAACACTCGAGTGGTTTAAGGGGCAACATTTAAATGTATTGGAATAGCCTAGTCAAAGCCCAGACCTCAATCCAATTGAGAATCTGTGGTATGACTTAAAGATTGCTGTACACCAGCAGAACCCATTCAAGCTGGAGCAGTTTTGCCTTGAAGAATGAGCAAAAATCCCAGTGGCTAGATGTGCCAAGCTTATATAGACATACCCCAAGAGACTTGCACCTGTAATTGCTGCAAAAGGTGGCTCTACAAAGTATTGACTTTGGGGGGGGTGAATAGTTATGCCTGCTCAAGTTTTCTGTTTTTTTTTTCTTATTTCTTGTTTGTTTCACTGAGTGGCGCAGTGGTCTAAGGCACTGCATCGCAGTGCTGACTGTGCCACTAGAGATCCTGGTTCGAATCCAGGCTCTGTCGCAGCCGGCCGCGACCGGGAGACTCATGGGCGGCGCACAATTGGCCCAGCGTCGTCCAGGGTAGGGGAGGGAATGGCCGGCAGGGATGTAGCTCAGTTGATAGAGCATGGCGTTTGCAACGCCAGGGTTGTGGGTTCGATTCCCACGGGGGGCCAGTATAAAAAAATATATATATGTATTCACTAACTGTAAGTCGCTCTGGATAAGAGCGTCTGCTAAATGACTAAAATGTAAATGTAAATGTTTCACAATAAAATATATTTTGCATCTTCAAAGTGGTAGGCATGTTGTGTAAATCAAATGATACAATTCCATTTTAATTCCAGGTTGTAAGGCAACAAAATAGGAAAAATGTCAAGGGGGGTGAAGACTTTCGTAAGCCACTGTATGAAGGTTTGGGTCTGTGTGCAATGAGTTGGCACGGGAGTCCCCTGCAGCATTGCCCTACACACAGTGAGTGAGTGAGTGAGTGAGTGAGTGAGTGAGTGAGTGAGTGAGACTGCCAAGGGGGGTGAATACTTTCGCAAGCCACTGTATGTATATAGACAACATCATCAGGGGGAACACTGAGGGAGAGTACGCCATTCACACTCTTTGCTGTATATAATATACAGTGGGGGGAAAAAGTATTTAGTCAGCCACCAATTGTGCAAGTTCTCCCACTTAAAAAGATGAGAGAGGCCTGTAATTTTCATCATAGGTACACGTCAACTATGACAGACAAAATGAGAATTTTTTTTCCAGAAAATCACATTGTAGGATTTTTTATGAATTTATTTGCAAATTATGGTGGAAAATAAGTATTTGGTCAATAACAAAAGTTTCTCAATACTTTGTTATATACCCTTTGTTGGCAATGACACAGGTCAAACGTTTTCTGTAAGTCTTCACAAGGTTTTCACACACTGTTGCTGGTATTTTGGCCCATTCCTCCATGCAGATCTCCTCTAGAGCAGTGATGTTTTGGGGCTGTCGCTGGGCAACACGGACTTTCAACTCCCTCCAAAGATTTTCAATGGGGTTGAGATCTGGAGACTGGCTAGGCCACTCCAGGACCTTGAAATGCTTCTTACGAAGCCACTCCTTCGTTGCCCGGGCGGTGTGTTTGGGATCATTGTCATGCTGAAAGACCCAACCACGTTTCATCTTCAATGCCCTTGCTGATGGAAGGAGGTTTTCACTCAAAATCTCACGATACATGGCCCCATTCATTCTTTCCTTTACACGGATCAGTCGTCCTGGTCCCTTTGCAGAAAAACAGCCAGCCCCAAAGCATGATGTTTCCACCCCCATGCTTCACAGTAGGTATGGTGTTCTTTGGATGCAACTCAGCATTCTTTGTCCTCCAAACACGACGAGTTGAGTTTTTACCAAAAAGTTATATTTTGGTTTCATCTGACCATATGACATTCGCCCAATCCTCTTCTGGATCATCCAAATGCACTCTAGCAAACTTCAGACGGGCCTGGACATGTACTGGCTTAAACAGTGTGTTACTGATGGTAGGCTTTGTTACTTTGGTCCCAGCTCTCTGCAGGTCATTCACTAGGTCCCCCCGTGTGGTTCTGGGATTTTTGCTCACCGTTCTTGTGATCATTTTGACCCCACGAGGTGAGATCTTGCGTGGAGCCCCAGATCGAGGGAGATTATCAGTGGTCTTGTATGTCTTCCATTTCCTAATAATTGCTCCCACAGCTGATTTCTTCAAACCAAGCTGCTTACCTATTGCAGATTCAGTCTTCCCAGCCTGGTGCAGGTCTACAATTTTGTTTCTGGTGTCCTTTGACAGCTCTTTGGTCTTGGCCATAGTGGAGTTTGAAGTGTGACTGTTTGAGGTTGTGGACAGGTGTCTTTTATACTGATAACAAGTTCAAACAGGTGCCATTAATACAGGTAACGAGTGGAGGACAGAGGAGCCTCTTAAAGAAGAAGTTACAGGTCTGTGAGAGCCAGAAATCTTGCTTGTTTGTAGGTGACCAAATACTTATTTTCCACCATAATTTGCAAATAAATTCATTAAAAATCCTACAATGTGATTTTCTGGATTTTTTTTCTCTCAATTTGTCTGTCATAGTTGACGTGTACCTATGATGAAAATTACAGGCCTCTCTCATCTTTTTAAGTGGGAGAACTTGCACAATTGGTGGCTGACTAAATAAAAAATTTCCCCACTGTATATGTATGTCTATATAACCAGCATTAACATCCCTCTTTCCTTCCCTTCCTCCTGTAGAGTGTATCAGGGGTGGTGGAGTGTCTAAAGATCATCACCCGGACTAACTCCCTGAGAATCGCTGAGTATGCCTTTAAATTGGCCCGGGAGAAAGGTCGCAAGAGGGTCACTGCAGTTCACAAGGCCAACATCATGTAAGTCAGTCAATGAGGGCAGGTCAGTCAGTCAGTCAGTCAGTGAGGGCAGGTCAGGTCAGGTCAGGTCAGTGAGGCCAGGTCAGTCAGTCAGTCAGTGAGGGCAGGTCAGTCAGTCAGTCAGTGAGGTCAGGTCAGGTCAGTCAGTCTGTGAGGTGTATGTATTCTACCAGTTGTGTGTTATAATGACTCCCACTCTGAGTGCTTTGGGGCTGCGGTCCAATTCTCTACCCTTTTCCCCAAAGTGTGCACTCGTTCACTCCCCCTCATAGATTTGAAAAGGAAGCACTTGTGTAAGAAATATGGTGGAAACTGATCCCGCCCCCTAGCCCATGCATACACTATTCCATGCTTTGAAAAGCATGAGGTGGCGTGAACAAGTCAAGTGCACACTTCCGGAAGAAGGGTAGATTCTGAATGCAACCAATGTACACTACCAGTCAAAAGTTTGGTCACACCTACTCATTCAAGGGTTTTTCTTTATTTTTTCAATTTTTTACATTGTAGAATAAGAGTGAAGACATCAAAACTATGAAATAACACATATGGAATCATGTCGTAACCAAAAAAGTGTGAAACAAATATATTTTATATTTGAGATTCTTTAAATTGCCACCCTTTGCCTTGATGACAGCTTTGCACACTCTTGGCATTCTCTCAACCAGCTTCATGAGGTAGTCACCTGGAATGCATTTCAATTAACAGGTGTGCCTTCTTAAAAGTTAATTTGTGGAATTTCTTTCCTTAATGCATTTGAGCCAATCAGTTGTGTTGTGACAAGGTATACAGAAGATGGGCCTATTTGGTAAAAGACCAAGTCCATATTATGGCAAGAACAGCTCAAATAAGCAAAGAGAAATGACAGTCCATCATTACTTTAAGACATGAAGGTCAGTGAATACGGAACATTTCAAGAACTTTGAAAGTTTCTTCACGTGCAGTCGCAAAAACCATCAAGCGGTATGATGAAACTGGCTCTCATGAGGACTGCCACAGTAATGGAAGACCCAGAGTTACCTCTGCTGCAGAGGATAAGTTCATTAGAGTTACCAGCCTCAGAAATTGCAGCCCAAATAAATGCTTCGCAGAGTTCAAGTAACAGACATCTCAACATCAACTGTTCAGAGGGGACTGTGTGACTCAGGCCTTCATGGTCGAATTGCTGTAAAGAAACCACTACTAAAGGACACCAATAAGAAGAAGAGACCTGCTTGGGCCAAGAAACACGAGCAATGGACATTAGACCGGTGGATATCTGTCCTTTGGTCTGATGAGTCCAAATTTGAGATTTTTGTTTCCAACCGCCGTGTCTTTGTGAGACGTGGTGTGGGTGAACTGATAATCTCCGCATGTGTATTTCCCACCGTAAAGCATGGAGGAGGAGGTGTTATGGTGTGGGGGTGTTTTGCTGGTGACACGGTCTGTGATTTATTTAGAATTCAAGGCACACTTAACCAGCATGGCTACCACAGCATTCTGCAGCGATACGCCATCCCATCTGGTTTGGGCTTAGTGGGACTATCATTTGTATTTCAACAGGGCAATGACCCAACACACCTCCAGGCTGTGTAAGGGGTATTTGACCAAGAAGGAGAGTGATGGAGTGCTGCATCAGATGACCTGGCCTCCACAATCCCCCGACCTCAACCCAATTGAGATGGTTTGGGATGAGTCGGACGGCAGAGTGAAGGAAAAGCAGCCAACAAGTGCTCAGCATATGTGGGAACTCCTTCAAGACTGTTGGAAAAGCATTCCAGGTGAAGCTGGTTAAGAGAATGCCAACAAGTGCTCAGCATATGTGGGAACTCCTTCAAGACTGTTGGAAAAGCATTCCAGGTGAATCTGGTTGAGAGAATTTCAAGTGTGGGCATAGCTGTCATCAAGGCAAAGGGTGGCTATTTGAAGAATCTCAAATATGAAATATATTTTGATTTGTTTAACACTTTGTTGGTTACTACATGATTCCATATGTGTTATTTCATAGTTTTGATGTCTTCACTGTTATTCTACAATGTAGAAAATAGTAAAAATAAAGAAAACCCTTGAATGAGTAGGTGTGTCCAAACTTTTGACTGGTACTGTATATATACACTGCTCAAAAAAATTAAGGGAACACTTAAACAACACATCCTAGATCTGAATGAATGAAATAATCTTATTAAATACTTTTTTCTTTACATAGTTGAATGTGCTGACAACAAAATCACACAAAAATTATCAATGGAAATCAAATGTATCAACCCATGGAGGTCTGGATTTGGAGTCACCCTCAAAATTAAAGTGGAAAACCACACTACAGGCTGATCCAACTTTGATGGAATGTCCATAAAACAAGTCAAAATGAGGCTCAGTAGTGTGTGTGGCCTCCACGTGCCTGTATGACCTCCCTACAATGCCTGGGCATGCTCCTGAGGGATCTCCTCTCAGACCTGGACTAAAGCATCCGCCAACTCCTGGACAGTCTGTGGTGCAACGTGGCGTTGGTGGATGGAGCGAGACATGATGTCCCAGATGTGCTCAATTGAATTCAGGTCTGGGGAACGGGCGGGCCAGTCCATAGCATCAATGCCTTCCTCTTGCAGGAACTGCTGACACACTCCAGCCACATGAGGTCTAGCATTGTCTTGCATTAGGAGGAACCCAGGGCCAACCGCACCAGCATATGGTCTCACAAGGGGTCTGAGGATCTCATCTCGGTACCTAATGGCAGTCAGGCTACCTCCGGCGAGCACATGGAGGGCTGTGCGGCCCCCCAAAGAAATGCCACCCCACACCATGACTGACCCACCGCCAAACCGGTCATGCTGGAGGATGTTGCAGGCAGCAGAACGTTCTCCACGGCGTCTCCAGACTCTGTCACGTCTGTCACATGTGCTCAGTGTGAACCTGCTTTCATCTGTGAAGAGCACAGGGCGCCAGTGGCGAATTTGCCAATCTTGGTGTTCTCTGGCAAATGCCAAACGTCCTGCACGGTGTTGGGCTGTAAGCACAACCCCCACCTGTGGACGTCAGGCCCTCATACCACCCTCATGGAGTCTGTTTCTGACCGTTTGAGCAGACACATGCACATTTGTGGCCTGCTGGAGGTCATTTTGCAGGGCTCTGGCAGTGCTCCTCCTGTTCCTCCTTGCACAAAGGCGGAGGTAGCGGTCCTGCTGCTGGGTTGTTGCCCTCCTACGGCCTCCTCCACGTCTCCTGATGTACTGGCCTGTCTCCTGGTAGCGCCTCCATGCTCTGGACACTACGCTGACAGACACAGCAAACCTTCTTGCCACAGCTCGCATTGATGTGCCATCCTGGATGAGCTGCACTACCTGAGCCACTTGTGTGGGTTGTAGACTCCGTCTCATGCTACCACTAGAGTGAAAGCACCGCCAGCATTCAAATGTGACCAAAACATCAGCCAGGAAGCATAGGAACTGAGAAGTGGTCTGTGGTCACCACCTGCAAAACCAGTCCTTTATTGGGGGTGTCTTGCTAATTGCCTATAATTTCCACCTGTTGTCTATTCCATTTGCACAACAGCATGTGAAATGTATTGTCAATCAGTGTTGCTTCCTAAGTGGACAGTTTGATTTCACAGAAGTGTGATTGACTTGGAGTTACATTGTGTTGTTTAAGTGTTCCCTTTATTTTTTTGAGCAGTGTATTTTTTATTGGCCCATACACCTCTTCGGATGAGAAATTAAACTTTGTTTTACACTTTTTTGTTACATATATATTTTACTTTTTTTTTTTTTTTTACACAGTAGTTACATAGCGAAGATATATTTTTTTGATATACATTACATTTGGATAGATAGTACTATCTGGTATACATTATATATAGTACAACCAAGGTGTTGAACGTCCCCGCTTCTCCCCTTCACAGGAAGCTGGGCGATGGTCTGTTCCTGCAGTGCTGTAGAGAGGTGGCTGCTGGGTACCCTGACATTACCTTCGACGCCATGATCGTCGACAACACCACCATGCAGGTATGAAACTCAATGCTCTCTTAATGATAGGGGCACACCAGTAAGTTTTAGCCTGGTCCCAGATCTGTTTGTGCTGACTCGCCAACTCCTACGGTCTTTTACATTGCCATGAGTTGGCACTTGGGGAGACAGCACAAACAGATCTGGGACCAGGCTAAGAATGTTGATATCCCTGCTTTTAAATATATTTGAAGTGTGTTTTGTCTGTGTTCCTCATGCTTATTGGTGGTATTAACCTATCCCTCTCTCATTCCCTAGCTGGTGTCTAAGCCCCAGCAGTTTGACGTGATGGTGATGCCCAACCTGTATGGTAACGTGGTCAGCAACGTGTGTGCCGGCCTGGTGGGAGGACCAGGGCTGGTGCCAGGGGCTAACTACGGCCGTGACTATGCTGTCTTCGAAACGGTCAGTCCAGTGGGCACCTGTAGTGTCCGCAACTCTGATAATATGATATTATGCTTCCACAGTGGTTTATTGAGACGCCCTAACAACAGACAATGTTTCGATCCCATTGAGATCTTCGTTAAATTTCAATAGGGCTCAGCATTTTCATTAAATATAATAGATGCCTTTTAGTAGACGCTTTTATCCGAAGCGACTTAGTCATTTGTGCATAGATTTTTTATACTTGGGTGGTCCCGGGTATCGAACCCACTATCCTGGCATTACAAGCGCCATGCTCTACCAACTGAGCTACAGAGGACCATATGCTTATGTAAATTGAGGAGTGAATGCTGGACTCTCAACAGTAGTCAGTTGACTTGGCAGTTGACAGTGAGCTCCAAAAGTATTGTGACAGAGACATTCTTTATGTTTTGGCTCTGTACTCCAGCACTTTAGAAATTATAGCACTTTTTGTACATAGTCCCCCCAAAAGGATTGGGAAAAATTCACTTATGTGAATTAAAGTAGTAAGAAGTGAAGTATTTGGTCCCATATTCATAGCACTACAAGCTTGTGACTCTACAAATTTGTTGGATGCAGTTGCTGTTTAATTTGTAAACGGTTCACCCGATATGAATGAAAATACCCTCAAATTAAAGCTGACAGTCTGCACTTTAACCTAGTCATTGTATCATTTCAAATCCAAAGTGATGGAGCCAAAACAACAACAAATGTGTCACTGTCCCAATACTTTTGGAGCTCAGTTCATATCGATGATCTCTCAATATGCTCTTTCTCTATGTGACTCTCAGGCCACCAGGAACACAGGAAAGAGTATTGCTGACAGGAACATTGCTAACCCCACTGCCATGCTACTGGCCAGCTGCATGATGCTGGACCACCTCAAGTGAGTTCACCTTGCATAGTCTAATGAAGGTGCTGTTTCTAAACCATGACAATGTGTATGTACTGGATGATCTGAGCTGCAGTTGACTTGTTGAACAGAACATAGGGTGTGAAAGTCATTGTCCTTCCGTGTTTCTCAGGCTCCATGATTATGCCACTATGATAAGGAATGCGGTCCTTACGACCATGAACGAGACTCAGGTAAGTCAAGTCCTCTCACCTCACTGCACACTTGTCACAATGCGCAATACACTGGCCTGCGCAATACTCTCACCTGGCCTGCTCAATACTCTCACCTCACTTGCTCAATACTCTCACCTCACCTGCTCAACACTCACCTCACCTGCTCAACACTCTCACCTCACCTGCTCAACACTCTCACCTCACCTGCTCAATACTCTCACCTGATGTAACACCTGACTACCCACTCACCACCTGAGAGACAGGTCTGGCCAGTTATCAACAGAGCACAGGCCAATAAAGAGCTATTCACATCGTTTCTAGTTTTTAATTGTCTGTTACTATAGCTTGGCATTTCTCAAATTAGTCCAACCTGTAATCAAATGTATGCTGCTCTATAGAGTCTCTTCTAGTGTACAAAATTTTGCAATTGTACCTACTGATTTATTATCGGCGTAGAATGCCTCTGAGTTGATGCAGAGGAGGTTGGTGGGAGGAGCTATAGGAGGACGGCCATTCCAATGAGCCCGTCCTCCTATAGCATCCAATGGTTGGGTGTGATGGATAGTCATTCTGAGGCCTGTACAGGGGAGAGCAATGTTGCAGAATATTCTGAAAGAAATGTATTGTGTAGAACAACAATTGTGTTAGCTCTGTCGGCAACATTGTGAAATGTTTCACCTCTGAATGTTGACCGACGCAGGCAATGTGATTGGTATTTGTTCTTCTCTTGCAGTTGCACACAGCTGACATCGGGGGGCAGGGCACCACCTCTGAGGTGGTTCAGGCTATCATGAGGAACATCCAGAGCAAGGGGCCTCTCACCAGCGAGCTCTGAACACGCACACACACACACACACACTCCGACCACACACATAGCAAGTCAATGCTGCTGGATAACATACAAATCCTTGGTGTGTCTCGTATGTTTGAACAACTGTGTGCCGTATGAGTGAGTGGGGGTGTGTTTGTGCATGTTTGTTTCCATAGTAATGCTCCTCCTTTGAGCGGTTCAGTCCTGTCTGTACACACACACCTTTCAGACGAGCAGAGTTATTCATCACTTTACATTTGAACCATTTAGCAGATACTCTTATCCAGAGCAACTTACAGTAGTGAGTGCATACAGTTTCATACTGGTCCCCCGTGGGAATCGAACCCACAACCCTAGCTTTGCAAGTGCATGCTCTACCAACTGAGCCACACGGGGCCATGTTATCTTCTCCTCTGCATGCCTTTCATTAATTAATTAATTAATGTCTGTCTTTCAATGTTATTTTAATTTAACACCATTCTGTCTTTCCATAACCATTCCCTGGCTGTTTCACGCATTTTAACGTTTGAGCATAAACAAAGGAAGTAGGAGGCCCAAACTACATCTGTAATAACATGCTGTAGTGAAGAAGTAAAAGCAAGGATCTATCTTGGGTTTAACCCCGGCACTTTATAGCTACTCTCTGCTAGGTTCATCCTACATCCCAGGACGTGATAGCTAGACAGCAACACTTCCAGCTCCACTTTAAACATATTGTATGTAGATATTGTGTTTGTTTGATTATAGTTGAGCGACTGTTTCTTAGGTACATGGGTTCACTGCAGTCTTTTGTGAGACTTGAAACGGTTATACTGTCGACCTATTTTCCTAATTGCAATTTTTCGTACAGTAGAAAAGAGAGAGTGTAAACGGTTATGTTTCTTACGGTACTGCAATGTTGCTGAAAGATTATAAACGGTTTTATGTTCTTCTCACAGTTCAGCGCTTAGCCTTACGTCTGCAGTTAGCCTGGTGGGTAGGAGCGCTGATTCAGAGGGGTTGGGTTACATTTTCAGTTGAATGCATTCAGTTGTACAACTGACTAGGTATTCCCCTTTCTCTGTCTGTGACTTCATCAGATGCATCTTTCCCACAGATACCAAAGTCTTATGATTTACCAATGCCCTTTCTGTGATCTTGGAATCAATTTAAGTACTCTTTATTTGACTTAGAATTTATTTTTATTTTTTTTATTTTTTTTGATGCAATATGTAACTTTTCGGGTGACCTGACCAAATTCACATAGAAATGTATGTTTATAGATCTGTAATTCTCATTGAAAGCAAGTCTAAGAAGCGGTAGATCTGTTCTATGTGCGCTATTTCTACGCTTCCTGTTCTTAAGTTTAGTTTTTTCATATTTTACTGTACACCAGCTTCAAACACAATATTTTAGTTAATGGAAAATATATTTACATTTACATCATTTAGTAGACGCTCTTATCCAGAGCGACTTACAAACCACTATTTCACAGTGGTTTAGATGGTACAATGATTCTCTACACTATACTTGCTTGTTTTGTCACAAACTGAAATAAGGTGAACTATTAGAATTTTGGCAACAAGGAAATGGCGGAGCGATTTAAGGTTGTTATACTGGTCTATAACTTGTCATCTTTTTATCTGTTACATTTATTTTAATTTTATTTATACTGTGTCTTTAAATGAACTACTCAGAACTGTACCCTAAAATGGAATATGTTGTTATACTCTGTCATATATACTCTGTATTTCACTTGATCCATTGAAAAAACCCAACTGGAAACCAGAAGTGCATATTTATCTCTGTGTTGTATTAAAAAACAAACAATGTGTTTGTGCCACAAATACCTACACAGTATACAAAACATTAACGCCTTCCTAATATTGAGTTGAACCCCCTTTTGCCCTCAGAACGTCTTCAATTTGCCGGGGCATGGACTCTACAGGGTTAAATGTTCCACAGGGCTGCTGGCCCATGTTGATTCCACAGTTATGTCAAGTTGGCTGGATATCCTTTGGGTAGTGGACCATTCTTGATACACACAGGAAACTGTTCAGCATGAAAAACCCAGCAACGTTGCAGTTCTTGACACATTCAAACTGGTGTGCCTGGCACCTACTACAATACCCTGTTCAAAGGCATTTAAATATTTTGTCTTGCCCATTCACCCTCAATGGCCCACACACACAATATATGTCTCATGGCTTAAAAATCCTTCTTTAACCTGTTTTATTTAACAGGTGACATCAATAAAGGATCATAGCTTTCACCTGATCGGTCTATGTCATGGAAACAGCTGGTGTTCTTAATGTTTTGTACACTCAGGGTATTTACTGCCTCTTATTAACTTAGTGATTTAAATTTAGAGTGAACAAAGCACATTAACCTGCTAAATGAAATGGGTTTGTTTCGGTTTCATATACTATAGCTGTGGCTGTATTAAATACATTCATATTGTTATTGATCAAATAAAAAGGTCTAAGCCTACTTTTGTTACTTTGTTTTCAGGGGAAAGTCAGGACTCAAAACATTGCACAGCAGTTGGTAGGTAATAAATCAAGTTCAGTACAATAAAAGTTGTAACAAAGGAAAGTATCGACTTCAGAGCAGGCAAATTCAAAGTTTGCAACCCTATTCCTTTTATAGTGCATTACCCTCTCAGAGTATCTGTTACCTGGAATGAAATAACCCTCAAATGCTTATTTAAAGAGCCGATCTAGGATTGGTACATCCATTTTAAAATTGTTATTTTGAATTAAATGTAAATGTACCAGCATGCAGTATGTTTTTGTCTTAGGAGTTTATTCTAAGGGCCTTTAATAAAGGAATTTAATAAATTCTCAGTGAGAGGTGACGTGTCAACACAGCCACGTTCCCATAATGCATCATGCGGATACGGTACACGTCATTACAGCGCACCGTTCTGAAAGCTGAAGTAGACTTTTGTGTTTTTTTTTTAAGGAAGACGTGGCTGTAATAATTGGTACAATCTCGAAATAACGCTCCACATTTCTTAGTCGTGTTAAACACATTTTGAGAAATCAACCATGATGACCAGAATAGCAGCGTTTCTTGCTCTTGTATGCCTGTGCACGGGTAAGTAATTTCAGAGAAATACTTAACGTCAAGGAAATGTAGCTATTAGCTAGCTAGCATCAGTAGGTAATTAACGTTAACTGATGAGAATTTTCTAGCGAGTTATGTCTTCATATTTTGCCGTGTTTGATACCATAAGTCTCTAGTAAAGAAGTTCTAACTAGCTATGTTTTTGATAGCTAGATAAGGCGAAGGTTAGCTAGTGAACTAGTAGATCGCTGGCTAGCTACAGTAGTAGCAATTATACATTTAACTGAATATTCAGATTTAGTATCTGCACCATGATTTTGTTATGCACTAGCTCTCAGCTGATATAATAGAGTATAAATGAACACGACCATCAGCTTGAGGTAGTAATGACTTTGCTTGACATGCCATTGCTGTATGTTGTTTAGGGGAGAGCTGTTCAGACCCTGTGATTACCCCGTCTGCCTACACCACTTCTGATGCCGTCATCTCCTCTGAGTCTGTCTTCATCGTAGAGCTCAGCCTGGCCTGTGCCAATGGAGCCCAGGTACTGTAGTTATCAGACACACACGTCTCTCTCTCCATTCCATTTTCAATTTAAGGGCTTTATTGGCATGGGAAACGTATGTTAACATTGCCAAAGCAAGTGAAGTAGATAGTAAACAAAAGTGAAATAAACAATAAATATTAACAGTAAACATTACACTCAGAAGTTCCAAAAGAATAAAGACATTTCAAATGTCATATTATGTCTATATACAGTGTTGTAACAATGCGCAAATAGTTAAAGTACAAATGGGAAAATACATAAACATAAATATGGGTTGTATTTACAATGTTTGTTCTTCACTGGTTGCCCTTTTCTTGTGGCAACATGTCACAAATCTTGCTGCTGTAATGGCACACTGTGATATTTCACCCAGTAGATATGGGAGTTTATCAAAATTGGGTTTGTTTTCTAATTCTTTGTGGGTCTCAGTAATCTGAGGGAAATATGTGTCTCTAATATGGTCATACATTTGGCAGGAGGTTAGGAAGTGCAGCTCAGTTTCCACCTCATTTTGTGGGCTGTGTGCACATAGCCTGTCTTCTCTTGAGAGCCAGATCTGCCTACGGCGGCCTTTCTCAATAGCATGGCTATGCTCACTGAGTCTGTATATAGTCAAAGCTTTCCTTAAGTTTGGGTGAGTCTCTCTCGTGCTCACTCTTGCTCGCTCTCTCTCTCTGTGTGTGTCTTCCTTCAACAGAGTGTGGCTCTGTATGCTGATGTCAATGGAAGGCAGTTCCCTGTGACTAGAGGCCAGGATGTTGGCAAGTACCAGGTAATACATGGCTCTGGTCACACACACACACTCTATGGGCCGTCTCCCAGACACAGATGAAGTTAATCCTGGCCTAAAAAAGTATGCTCAATGGAGAATCTCAGTTGAAAGTGCTTTATAGTCCATGACTAGGCTTAATCTGTGTCCAGGAAATCTATGTCTAGGAAACCGTCCCTTATATGCACTTATGAAGAGTAACTTGTGTGTTTAGCTATATGACAGCTCTTCACTCTGTGTTTCTCAGGTGTCCTGGAGCATGCCCCATAAACAGGCCAGCTCTGGTACGTACCAGGTCAAGTTCTTTGATGAAGAGTCCTACAGCTCTCTACGCAAGGTAGGCCCTATAGTGTCTCACACACACACCTGTCCTATCTGTGTAATGTAGGTGCATTCCAGGAATTTGGCACCGGACAATGTGACCGGCAAGACTTTAATTTACCGGACGTTTGAGAAATGTCCATACACATTGGGTGCTTAAAGCATTAGGGCGTCCACCTACGGTGCTCAAAATCACATTTTGATTATTGTAATTCATCTTAACAGAATAGAAATTAGCCTGTGAAGTTGTAATAAAGTAAAATGATGTTCTTATACTAACATGACAGGTTTTATTGAAAAGCAAAACATTGCCCGTTGTCTTCATCCCTGCTATAAATCATAAATGAATATAATAAAAAAACATTTAGCCTAGAAGAACATGTCACCTACACAGTAATAAAACACACATTTGTATAATATATAATTAGTAAACGACCTGTCCTATAGGCTATTTGTATGAACATTTTCATAAATAACAAAACAAGGCTTGTTTAATTTAGCCTAGGCATGATCATTTTAATTAGGCCTAATAAATAACAAAACGTGTCTGTCTACGAACACCAGGGCCGGCCGGTCATGGCTAGAAGGGATCCAGCTTTTGTCAAATTAACGTCCGATTTGACTTTTCGTAGCAGGTTAGGGGAATTTATGCAGCATAGTAGGATAATGAATGTAGCAGGTTAGGAGAATTAGGAAAAGGGTTAGGGGTTAGAAGAAGACAAAATAATCTACTTTTGAAGATAATTTGACAAAAGCTGGATCCCGTCTACCCATGACCGACCCCGCCCCACTCATTTTACATTGACATTTTAGTCATTTAGCAGACGCTCTTATCCAGAGCGACTTACAGTTAGTGAATACATATTTTTTTATACTGGCCCCCCGTGGGAATCGAACCCACAACCCTGGCGTTGCTAACGCCATGCTCTATCAACTGAGCTACATCCCTGCCGGCCATTCCCTCCCCTACCCTGGACGACGCTGGGCCAATTGTGCGCCGCCCATGAGTCTCCCGGTCGCGGCCGGCTGCGACAGAGCCTGGATTCGAACCAGGATCTCTAGTGGCACAGTTAGCACTGCGATGCAGTGCCTTAGACCACTGCGCCACTCAGGAGTACTCCCCATTCCTGCTGCGATTCAGCACCATAGCGGTGGATAGAGAACACTCGAGGTGGCCACAAAATTTAAGAAATTATAAAACTAATGTTGGACAATCCTAATTTGATATGTAAATAAACTACATTCGTTAAGGCTGGTTCATTGAGAACTTATTTTACAATGCTCCTGTGAAACGAGGCCCGCGCCATGCATTAATGAAAGCACTTATTTCCTAAGTTAAAATGATCTATTTTTACAGTTCTACTGGATGTTAATAAATGTTATGTTTATTGTAATTTAATCTATCGTGGGGTCGTGAATCGTGTAATATATGTGGCTTATTGAAAATAACTCTGTTTCCTACTATAGGCAGTTGGCTGCATTGTAACTCTCTGATGTGCATAGTTGGCAATTATGTTTTGTTTCAAAGTGCTACTGAATACGCTAAACTGAAATGCACCAATTGTGCATGATACACATCATTACTCTATCAATCCATTCCAAATCTTTATACTATACATAACACGGGTGCAACATATGTTGATCTTACCTAGGGTGGCAGCAAAACTGCTAGGACTGGGCCTGAAGAACACAATAATTTGCCTCTAATTTACTTGCGTTTGCGGCAGACCTTGGCCTTCTCAAAGTGAGCCACTGCTATTGGGAAGTCAAAACTGTACAACTCCTTGGAGCAGCTTGATGCACATCAGCCTCGTTACTTTGTCCTCAAGAAGGCGCGATCTTGATGCCGTCTTTACTGTTTTGGAGAAAGAATCCCTTCTCGGCGGGAACACAGGAAACAGGGATAATCAACACAATCTTCACCAATTTTGCCCAGTCCCTTATGAGGACCTGGCGCCAGATTTGCCCAGTCCCTTATGAGGACCTGGCGCCAGTTTTGCCCAGTCCCTTATGAGGACCTGGCGCCAGTTTTGCCCAGTCCCTTATGAGGACCTGGCGCCTTTTGTGTGAGTGAACAATAGAAACAAAACCGACAGCTTGAAGATTTATCAGCCTATGAATTATATTTGTCTTTGAAGTTGGAGCACAGCCACTGGTATTTCCATCAATGAATAAAAATCATTTATTGGCTTTTCATTTTTTTTATAGGCAAAAAGCCGTCATTTACCGGCTAAGGGAAACCCTGGTGCATTCATGCTTGTCTGTTTGTGCCCCTGTCATTTGATTTAAATAAATACTGTCGCTTTTAGCCATATGCAAATGTTTGTCTGTTGATATTGATGTTTGTTTGTTTAATCCAGGCCCAGAGGAACAACGAGGATGTAGAATCCATCCAGCCTCTCTTCTCTGTCAATGTAGATCACAGGGTGAGTCTGTGAACAGTATAACAAATGAATACAGATCTCCACTTATGGATGTGTTGATTCTATGCACAATACAATTTGGAAATTGGAAACACCTAGTGTGCCTCATTCTCATCTGAGATTCCTTCCTAACTGCAGCTTTATCTTGTTGATTCTAGGGAGCGTGGAACGGCCCGTGGGTGCCTACTGAGGTTATGGCTGCTCTCATCGGCATCCTGGTGTACTACCTGGCCTTCAGCGCTAAGAGCACCATCCAGGCATAAAGGACTACAAGTCCCACCGTTCTCTAAGCGCACCATCCAGTCATAAAGGACTACACGTCCCAAGGTTCTCTACAACTGGATCTCTAAAAGATTGTTGAATGCTGGTGACTTTTCTAACCATCCAACCTGAGCATACCTGTGGCAGAACAACGGTATGCCACCATCCATTTTGAGATACGAAACTAGAACAAATTGTTTTGTAGTTATTTTTTATTTTGAACGCAGACTGTCTGATTCTTTTCGGTCAATTCCTAGAAGAAGATGCAATTTCTGTTTTGTCAATTTGTGCAAAATAAAATACAATGTACACACCTCAATCGAACCCAATGTACCCCACTAACTGAGCACAGTAATTTTGTGTTTAAAAGCAAATCAAGGTTTTGATAGCGAAATGACTGTTTCTATAGACCAATGCTGACTTCCTTCCACAGCCTCATGCTTATTGCTTATCTACCGGTGGACTTGACCTCTGAAAGACAAGAACATCTGTCCATCAGTTCATGGTCTTTCTTGTAAAGGACTTTGGTATTGTGTGATATCTGTACTGATACTAAACACTCTAAAATGACTCGTTCTGTACGTACAAGGGTCTGAGTAGGACTGCTGATCTAGGATCAGGTCCCCTCGGTTTTATTAATTATGATCTGAAAGGCAAAACTGATCCCAGATCAGCAATTATACGCTGAGACACTTTGTGACAATGAACCATGGCGTTGCAGGAGTCTAAAGCCCCTGTGAACGTTGTAGTGGCTGACTGGCTGTGTCTTACCTACGCGTAACTGTTGTTGCACTGGCTGGCTGATGAGGCCAAATGTTTCAGGATTGGTGATTATTTGTTGCTCGTGGTCAAATTAATAAATAAATGGTTTGATTTTGTCCTACTGTGTCTTTAATTTCTCCCTGTATGTGTGTGGCATGATGTTCTACAGCACCCTTAATGCAATACTGTCTATTGCATTATGGATACTGTAGTACATCATGCTACGGTCTGATGGGGTGCGTGAGGTGACAAACCAGCTGCTTCATACATTCATTACCATGGCTGGATTACTGACTGGGGTATGCAGGATGTGCCCCAGGGGCCCCCCTTCATTTCATTGAAATGTCTTAGTCACTCAGACAACACATAAGGCATTACAAAATATTGTAGGAAGTGAGCTTTAAAATGTCAACATTTTCTGTCTTAACAGTCAAGAGGTGGGGGGTGGATGTGTGAAATGGGATGCCTGTTATACTGTAGTAGGTTTTACATCTTGACTCGCAGGTTGAAATTTATTGGGATGAATATTGTCCTGGAGGCAGCTCTACAGAGTGGTCACTAGCTGGCCTAGCAACAAAGTTATAAAATATGATTTTAACATTAACCACACTGCTAACCTTATGCCTAACCTTAAATTATGACCAAAAAGCAAATTTTAGTTTTTATGCATTTTTTATGATATAGCCAATTTTGACTTTGAGCTGGCCCATCTAATGGAAACCACTCAGCTCTGCCTCCAGGACAAGATGAATCCCAATAAATGTCAACCTGCGATTGACTCACCACAATCTTTACAATGTACTCGCAACATCCTTTCTACTTTACCTATGGAGATACATTCTGAAAAAAAACTGCTTCAAACCAGTTTTTCCCTAACGTAGATATCTTCTTTAGCAACCGTATTAAGTATTTTATTTTCTCTCTCCTCTCACAGTTGTTTGTGTGGTAAACATTTCCACAAATCCCTGCATCACATGATGCCTACTGCTGTAAACAGGGTCACATGCATGACTTTAAAGAGGCTGAGGCCTCCTCGAAACCCTGATTGTGTCCCAAGTGGACATATACAGTTGAAGTCGGAAGTTTACAGACACCTTAGCCAAATTCCTGACATTTAATCCTAGTAAAAATTCCCTGTCTTAGGTCAGTTAGGATCACCACTTCATTTTAAGAATGTGAAATGTCAGAATAATAGAGAGAATGATTTATTTCAGCTTTTATTTATTTCATCACATTCCAAGTGGGTCAGAAGTTTACATACACTCAATTAGTATTTGGTAGCATTGCCTTTAAATTGTTTAACTTGGGTCAAGCGTTTCGGGTAGCCTTCCACAAGCTTCCCTCAATAAGTTGGGTGAATTTTGGCCCATTCCTCCTGACATAGCTGGTGTAACTGAGTCAGGTTTGTAGGCCTCCTTGCTCGCACACGCTTTTTCAGTTCTTCCCACAAATGTTCTATATGATTGAGGTCAGGGCTTTGTGATGGCCACTCCAATACCTTGACTTTGTTGTCCTTAAGCCATTTTGCCACAACTTTAGAAGTATGCTTGGGGTCAGTGTCCATTTGGAAGACCCATGTCTTGAGATGTTGCTTCAATATATCCACATAATTTTCCTTCCTCATGATGCCATCTATTTTGTGAAGTGCACCAGTCCCTCCTGCAGCAAAGCACCCCCACAGCATGATGCTGCCACCCCTGTGCATCACGGTTGGGATGGAAACTACCCCCTTTTTCCTCCAAACATAACGATGGTCATTATGGCCAAACAGTTCTATTTTTGTTTCATCAGACCAGAGGACATTTCTCCAAAAAGTAAGATCTTTGTTCCCATGTGCAGTTGCAAACCGTAGTCTGGCTTTTCTATGGCGGTTTTGGAGCAGTGGCTTCTTCCTTGCTGAGCGGCCTTTCAGGTTATGTCGATATAGGACTCGTTTTACTGTGGATATAGATACTTTTGTACCTGTTTCCTCCAGCATCTTCACAAGGTCCTTTGCTGTTGTTCTGGGATTGATTTGCACTTTTCGCACCAAAGTACGTTAATCTCCAGGAGACAGAACGCGTCTCCTTCCTGAGCGGTATGATAGCTGCGTGGTCCCATGGTGTTTATACTTGCGTACTATTGTTTGTACAGATGAACGTGGTACCTTCAGGCATTTGAAAATTGCTCCCAAGGATGAACCAGACTTGTGGAGGTCTACCATTTTTTTTCTGAGGTCTTGGCTGATTTCTTTTGATTTTCCCATGATGTCAAGCAAAGAGGCACTGAGTTTGAAGGTAGGCCTTGAAATACATCCACAGGTACACCTCCAATTGACTCAAATGATGTCAATCAGAAGCTTCTAAAGCCATGACATCATTTTCTGGAATTTTCCAAGCTGTTTAAAGGCACAGTCAACTTAGTGTATGTAAACTTCTGACCCGCTGGAATTGTGATACAGTGAATTATAAGTGAAATAATCTGTCTGTAAACAATTGTTGGAAAAATTACTTGTGTCATGCACAAAGTAGATGTCCTAACCGACTTGCCAAAACTATAGTTTGTTAACAAGACATTTGTGGAGTGGTTGAAAAATGAGTTTTAATGACTCCAACCTAAGTGTATGTAAACTTCCGACTTCAACTGTATATGTTCTATATAGTGCACTACTTTTGACCAGAGCCCTAGGGGTTCTGGTCAAAAGTAGTACACTAAATAAGGAATAGGGTGCCGTTTAGAACGCAAACCCTTAATGGAACCAGTGGTTATTTTCATCAAGTGGAAGAAGGCTCAGGGGGTAGGAATAACTGTCACACCGTGGTATGCCTTGATGGAGAGGAGAGAGCATGCTCTACATTTCAAGACAGGAGGAAGGAGCCTGTTTTTAAGTGGCTGTTGCAATCTCTCTCTCGCTCTCTCTCGCTCTCTCTCGTGTCAAATACACTGAGTATACCAAAAATTATGAACACCTTCCAAATTTTGAGTTGAACCCCAACCCCCCCCCCTCCTTTTGCCCTCAGAGCAGCCTCAATTTGTCGGGGCATGGACTCCACAAGGTCGAAAGCATTCCACAGGGATGCTGGCACATGTTGACTCCAATGCTTCCCACAGTTGTGTCAAGTTGACTGGATGTAATTTGGGTGGTGGACCATTCTTGATTCACACGGAAACTGTAGAGCGTAAAAAACTAGCAGCATTGCAGTTCTTGACACAAACAGGTGACAGATTGAGACCTAGATCTCTATTTCAAATGCGCCATGTACATAAATATACACATAATAAAAAATAAAAAAACAAAAATATATATACACTACCAGTCAAAAGTTTGGACACACCTACTCATTCCAGGGTTTTTCTTTATTTTGACTATTTTCTACATTGTAGAATAATAGTGAAGACATCAAAAATATGAAATAACACATATGGAATCATGTAGTAACCAAAAAAGTGTTAAACAAATCAAAATATATTTGAGATTTGAGATTCTTCAAATAGCCACCCTTTGCCTTGATGACAGCTTTGCACACTCTTGGCATTCTCTCAACCAGCTTCACCTGGAATGCATTTCAATTAACAAGTGTGCCTTCTTAAAAGTTAATTTAATGCGTTCGAGTCAATCAGTTGTGTTGTGACAAAGTAGGGGATGTATACAGAAGATAGCCCTATTTGGTAGAAAATGACAGTCCATCATTACTTTAAGACATGAAGGTCAGTCAATCTGGAAAATGTCAAGAACTTTGAATGTTTCTTCAAGTGCAGTCGCAAAAACCATCAAGCGCTATGATGAAACTGACTCATGAGGACCACCACAGGAATGGAAGACCCAGAGTTCCCTCTGCTGCAGAGGATAAGTTCATTAGAGTTCCCAGGCTCAGAAATTGCAGCCCAAATAAATGCTTCACAGAGTTCAAGTAACAGACACATCTCAACATCAACTGTTCAGAGGAGACTGTGTGAATCAGGCCTTCATGGTCAAATTGCTGCAAAGAAACCACTACTAAAGGACACCAATAATAAGAAGTGACTTGCTTGGGCCAAGAAACACGAGCAATGGACATTAGACCGGTGGAAATGTGTCCTTTGGTCTGGAGTCCAAATTGGAGATTGTTGGTTCCAACCACCGTGTCTTTGTGAGACGCGGTGTGGGTGAACGGATGATCTCCGCATGTGTAGTTCCCACCGTAAAGCATGGAGGAGGAGGTGTTATGTTGTGGGGGTGCTTTGCTGGTGACACTGTCTGTGATTTATTTAGAATTCAATG